AAATCAAAACATCAACTAATCAATAATTCACAAACGAACACCGAAAAATTTAGGAAAAACTCAGAATTAATGAGAAAAAAGAAAGATTGAATTGTACCTGACCGAGAATATGAGCACTAGAATGCCAAAAGGTATCTCTACCTTCATCACTATCAAAATTATAGAGCTTCAAATCAGAATCCGCTTCAAAAGGCCTATTCATATCCCAAAGTTGACCATTAACCCTAGAAATCAACGAATTGGAAGCCAAACTCTTGGAAATCTGGGCCGCAATGTCGAATGGAGTAGTTTTCAGTTTTTCGCCTTCCTTGACATTTCCATCGGGCAATGTAATCCTTCAGTCAACAAAAATGAGTCAAAATCGGTCAAAGGAGAGAGAAAGAGAAGCAAAAGAAGAGAGAGAGAATGAGAGAGAACTTGATTGGTTCGCCGGAAATGGAGAGACGTTTGAGATCTTGCTGAGCTTTAATGGTTTCGAAGTGAGCGATTCGTTTAGGGATGACTTCTGCGAGGTAAGCGTCGTCTCGAGGGTGAGATGCGGGGGTTGCCTTGGGAGCTTTGTCGCCGCCTGCCATGGAAGCTTAAGCTCTGCGGATATGGCGGCTGAGAGAGGAGAGGAGAGAGAATTTGCAGAGAATGAATTGGGGGTTTTGGGAAAGGAAAGGGTTTCATAGGTGTGTTAAATTCTTATGCAGTGTTTGTTTCATTTGATTAAAGGAATGGAAAGTAACTTGGGGGGTGTTAAATTTTGTATTTATATTTAAAAGGAGGAATAAAGAATAATATGCGGGGATAGCTCAGTTGGGAGAGCGTCAGACTGAAGATCTGAAGGTCGCGTGTTCGATCCACGCTCACCGCATTTTTAATTCTTTAAGGTGTTTTAGAGTTGTTTGGTAAAATTAGCTTATTATTTGTAGTTGTTTGTTAGTTGAACTTATGAAATGACAATTTAGGACATTGATGATTTTATTTTTTTTGTACTTGACTAGGATAAGATCGAAATTGGGAGGGCAAGAATGTGAATTAGAGTAACTTTTAGGATGAAATTGTCTTTTAACATTCATTACTCAATAAGCTAATCTTAAAAGCTCTATTTTGTAGCTTTTTACAAACTAGCTTATTTGTCTTAATAAGCTCATTTAAAAAGCTCTTTTACCAAACAATCAAATTAGATGATTTATGTAGTCAAACCTCTAACTTAGTCAAATAAGCTCATTTTTTGTCAAAACTTTAATTACCAAACATGGTCATTGTCTTAAAAATAAACATATTTTAAATGTTAATTAATACTACCGCTGTTTTTTTTTAAATTGACACATTTTGACTTTAGCACTAATCATACATTCCCTTTTAACCTTGTTTTGTGCTTTGAGCAAGTTTAGCATCAAGTCTTAAGACTTGAGGTGACATCATCATCTTGACTCTTAAGATCAAACTTATGTTTAAGACTTTCCCTATTTTCTTTTTAAATCTCAAGCAAGTCTCAAGTTGAGTCTTGAGTCTTGATATTTCAAGACTTAACTTAAGACTTGAGATTGGGACCCTCAACTTAAGACTTGATATTGGGACCCATCTCAATTTTATATTTGTTGACTTTTTTTTAAACACTTTTCTACATACAATACGTCATATTGAGTCTTAGGACTAAAGTGATAAATTTGGGCAAGTCTTGGGCCCTGTTTTCATCAGATTATTTCCAGTCTAGCTCTAATAAATTTAGTTCAGTTCAATTTAGTTTAGTTCAGTTCAATTCAACTCTAATAAGTTCATTTCAACTCAGTTCAGTCAATGATAACAGGCCCTTAGTGAGTATTAACAAGAATTTGATGATATTATTTTCAATGGGAACCACAAAAAAATGATGTCACATCCAAGTCTTAAGACTTGGCGCTAAATTACTTATATATAATGAAAAATATAGTAATGTGGAATCTTGTTATATTCGTCACGATATAAATTTTCAAAATATCAAAATTTTATAATTTTTGCTTATCAATAATCAAATATATAAATGGTTAAACTTATACATTGACAAACGTAATTAAAGAAACGTGTTAACTAAAAAGAAAGTAACTTTAAAACTAAATTTAATTGATATTTTAAAACGTCTATGACCATTAGAAAAATTAGGTTTGTCTTACCGCGCGTGTAGTTTGTTCAAGTTATATTGGAACTTAATTGATAGATGAACGATTATATTAAAGTAATGGTTATGATATATTGGTATTCAAGGATGTGTAAAGTGTACCATTATTTATTAATGATGTAAGACATGAACTTTCCAGGAAATTTCTATGAAAATTATTATTTGTCCTTTGAAGATAAAACAAAGTTAACTCCAAGTTTGCATTTAAATTAGTCACTTGGACAATTAAGAAATTTACAATAGATGACCTTACTACTTTGTATACTCCATCCCAAATATAAATGAATCAATTACCGGTTCTATATTATTCCACAATTCGTTCTTTTTGGTTGGATGTAAAAGGTTTTCAATGGAAAATGAGTTTCCATGAAAAACCTTTTCCATTAGAAAATGTAATTTCCTACACATTTTCCCTTGTTTGGTTATATGTAAAACAATTTTTCAATTTAAACAAAATAAAACTAATATTAAGTGAGGCAATTTATCAAACACTTTGTGGGCATGATAAAAACATGTAAATATATGAATAAAAATAAAATTTGCAGCAAGTAGATTGCATCTAATAACAAATTCCCAATTTATAATCATCTTTAGAAAATTTAATCACATCAAAAAAAATTATTTCGAATTAACGCATTTAATAGTTTTTGTGCAAAAATACCCAAAAATAATCAAAATATGGGCAAAAAATACAACATAATCAGATTTTAAACCAAATTAAACCCTAGAGTAATAATCAAGTCAAGAGGAGAGAGAGAGAGAGAGAGAGAGAGAGAGAGAGAGAGAGAGAGAGAGAGAGAGAGAGAGAGAGAGAGAGAGAGAGAGAGAGAGAGAGAGAGAGAGAGAGAGAGAGAGAGAGAGAGAGAGAGAGAGAGAGAATTGCCAAGTTAAGAGATCGAGTGAGAAGATCTACTTGAGTTTGCAGTTAAAGAAGAAGGGGAAAGATAGAAGGAGAGTGGAAAACATGGCTTCCCTTCTAATTTGGGGGAAAACTATTTCTTGTTTAAAGGAAAATAGTTTTCAGCCCAAAATTTTCTTTTCATATTTAGTCCAAACCAAACAATGTAAAATAAGGAAAACTATTTTCCTGGAAAAGGTTTTCAACCCAACCAAACAGGGCCTTAATGTAAAAGTCAAATTGACACGTGTATTTGCCAAGATATAACTCTGACCATTTAATTTTAATAAGATAAAATTATGCGCCTACACAACACTCCTTAAATCATTTTTCCTAATTCTAATTAAAACAAAAATAAAAAAGAATTGTGAATTATACGTTTTGATGGAAGCTTCCTCAGATATAGTCAAACCCCAAAAATGCAGTTTTGGAAGTACCAATGATTCCAAGAATAGTGAATTTCAACCAATGATAATTTTACTTGCTTTCAATATTTCTCTAATCATAAGTTATCAAGTATACATTGTCTGGTAACCAATAGCATCATCAGATAGATTCATCACGTTGTCATGCATGTAAACCATGTTTTTTTTAATTATCTACTGTCAATGTGTTATAATCATGTCCTGTACAAATACTTAATAAGTTAATAGTATCATAAATTATCCTAAATCTAAGATAAGAATATACGTACCATATATTCTCTATCTCATACAATCATACATTAATGGTTCGCCTCTATAAAAATAGAAGGGAGAACACTCTTACTAGTAACAACACTCACAATATAATTACAACCTGATAACAACAATATAGTGTTAAGGGAAGAGTTTTTATTATTTGTTCGATTTTTAGTGAGGAGGAAGATGGAGATGATGAAGAAAGTGAGCATGATCCTGCTAGTAGTTGCTCTTGTAGTTGCAACAAGGCCGACAACCATGGCTAATGAACCCGGCTTGGGTGAGTTGGGTCAAGGTCAGTTGGTTCGATTGTCAATCACTGCTACCCTTTATTACGATATTCCCTTTGGACAAATTATGGAATTTGCTGCTGCTGCTGCTGCTGCTGCCGCGGCTGATAAAAGCAATGGTGGTGCGCTTACTTGCAAGAATGTAGGCCAAGGTTGCAACGTCGCCTCACCATGTTGTGCCGGGTTGTGGTGTGACAACCCTATGTTGGTGCTTGGGGTATGCAAATTCAAAGTTGATAAACCATCAATGCAGCAACCTTAGCCTTTATTTTTTTCCAAGCTAAGCAGTCATGAAAAATTATATGGTACTTTGGAATGAATTATTGGATGCAATGTGTTGTATTGGTAAAAATAAGTGAAGTTGTGATTCTCAGAAAAATAAAATGAAGTTGTGGTTTATTTTTATGTATTATCATCTATGTTTGAGTAGTTTTTGTAGTTCTATTCCGTAATTTTGTTTGTTGAAAATATTGCTTCAATCTTAGCTACAATACCTTTGAAATTTATATATTTTAATTTTAATGTTATTCATAACCAGAGATAGCTCAGTTGGGAGAGCGTCAGACTGAAGATCTGAAGGTCGTGTGTTCGATCCACGCTCACCGCATTTTTTTTTTGTTTTTTTAAAAAAAGAAAATTTTTGGCTCTCTTTTACTCTTTCACATCGACCCTAGTGGCAAGCATTTGACGGAAGGTTCGTTCAGCATCACCAATCGGTTTCCACTTTCCAGTGAGAAACGAGTTTGGAGGCTGAACTTTGGCTCCACTACGATGGTTAGCCACCTATATCAAAGGCTAACGTGGTTTTGTTTGGTGGTTGTCGACTTGGAGGAGAGATGAGAGTTGTGGATAGTGCTCCAAGGGCAAGGGGTAAGGCGGAGTCGAGGATTGCAAGGATAGAAGCATCATTAAGCACCCTTAATATGGGCATTTAGAGTAAGCGTGGGCATCAAATATCGCTACACTTTGTAAATAATTTCTACTAGTATAACTGTGAGGTTGCCCATATCTTCCACCAATAAATTTCCATATTTCTTGGTTTAACAGAAATGGTAAAATTCCATACAAGGATTACAAGTACATTACTCAAAGCGTCATAGCATGTAACTCTACACCAAATACCGCCTCAATGCTGCTCATACTTGCCCCTGTGTCCACTGAAAGCCGGTAATCATGCTTGAATGTTCACTAGTACATCCTGCAGTTTAAGAGAGCTGATGCTGTTGCTCCAAACAGCAGCACTTTTTTTGCTTGCCAAAGAGAGGGCGGAAGATGCATCCTTAGAATTAGATGCTGAAAATCCCATTAATCAATGCCTACAGCATTTTCTTCACCCATCTTCAAGAAATAATAATGAAAAAAAAAAAAAAAATCCATTGTTCAATTTTCTCACCCTTGCCACACTTTGATGCAAGGTTTCCAAAGTTGACACTTCTAATTTCGTACCTATGGTCGTTTAGCTGACATAAAATTAACTAATTAATACGAGATCATACATGAGAATCAGGATTACTGCATTTGCAATAACAGAACAATCCATTTACATGTAACCGAAACAAAAGGTTGGTAGTAGTAATCTTTCTATTATACCAAAACCAAGACACATAGGTCGGTAAATAATTGCCACAAAAATTGCCCCTTGTAAAACATGTACAGAACATATAATCCCCAAAACTGAATCTGATGCATCCTCTCATGAGTCTCAACAGTCTAGCGATGTAAACAAAAATTGCCGAATCCAACCTGTTAAACATATGAAAGTACTCAATTACTGTATAAGTATAATAAAGTAGCAGTAGTTAGCCAAACAGGTAAGTTTGTACTGACCAACTCTATAGCCCATTAGCGAACACGGACTAACTCAACATCCATTATTAACCATGAATTTGGGGGTACGAGATTCGTGCCCTCACTTCCGTATCTGCAAAAGTACGCCAGGAACATATTATACAATAAGTACATCATGCAAAACATTTTGAAAGATAGCCCAAAGAACTTGCATATTGATTAAAAAAAAAGAAAAATCACAGTATAAGAAACATTACCCCAATTCAGGCGGTATTTGAAGCCTTCTCTTACCACCAACACGCATTCCTGCAAATCAAAAGTGACAAATTCATCCTTTGTACACTTTTCCTTTACTAGAAGTACAATATAAATGTATGACAGTTATGGAACACTAATTCAATACCAGCACAATTTGATAATTTTGAAGAGCTATTTTCAGCTATGTTAAAGGAACAGTATAAAATAACATTTTGAAATATTGAGTTAAATACAGATATGACTGCATGTTATGCAATGTGGACAGATCGTATTACCTTCTACTCCAAGCTCAAGCCCATCCATAACACGACCTTTACCTGGAAGACATTAGCAAGTGTTAGAAATTGAGACTGTTAAGGAAATGAGCTCATACAAGTATAGCATACCAAGGCGAAATTTGAGAGGATCTTTTCCAGCACTTGAATCAAAAATCTGGTTCCCTTTCTTCAGTTTACCAGTATAATGAATAGAGACCTGAAATCAGTAGAAAGTCAGTAATCAATCCAAAGCAGCCACACTAAATGGTAAAGAATCAGCAAACAGTTATCAGACTTACCTTTTTTCCCCTGGAAGCCACTTTTCCATCTTCTTCACCAGCCTCAAGTTCCTCAACAATCAAGCCGCCTGATATTGTCCTTGTGTTGCAATTTATTTTTCCACCAGTCTCTGTCAGAGGGTCTCCAGTTTCTTTTCTATTCTTTCTTTTCTTCTTCTTAGCCTTTTTATCTTCAGTTTGGTGTTCATCAGTTATATCTCCAGAAACACACCTCTTTCTGAGTAAAGACAAGTTCATAATCTTAATACAATCACATCTGAGACATCTATAAAAGACCACAAGCAAAATCCAAGCATGAAAAAGGAAGTACATAAGATCTTTCATGCCACAATTAATCTGAGAATGAAGACAAAGAAAACAAGAAATGTGTAACCTTTTATAGAAACCCAAATTTGGAGAAACAAAGGTGTACTAAAAGCTAAAGAGTAAATTCTGGACTTTTTCAGCAATCTAAAGCCGTGGGAGCAGGCAATGATATGCAGTGATGAGCTATTTTTCATTTACTAAACAGTAGGCATATACAACAAATTCCAGTTATTATATGAATATATGATCATATGTTCTAGTTTTTTTTTTTTTTTTTTTAAAATTAAAGTATTCATTCTAATATTATGGATCTCATAACATTACAACATTTTCATGTCCTTTCTCATGTTCAAGATTTCGTGAGTCAAGTTTTTGTGATCAAGTTTTCATGCTTATCTGCAAACATTATCTACATAACTTCCTCAGTTCCTCTACTGATGGATAGTACAACACTAACAACACAATGATGTGTCCAGTTAGATTTTGAACTGTCAATTAAGAATGTTGTTCCATATGGAAATGTGGGAGTGTTGAGACTTCAACACAAATTTAAAATTCATGTAGAGGCTGGGAAACATCATTATAATTATAAGATTACTATCTCTTAACATTAGTGAACACGAAACTCTAAAACCATCATAGAGAAAACAAACTAGTCAAGAGCTCATAATCAAATGGACTTGTGTATTCTGGTACTGGAAAATAAAGCTTATTTAACCTTTTTGAATCTTCATCACCCATTTCAGAATTTCCACACAGTGAAGAGATAGGCATCTGATCTTCTTTCTCACTCTCAACCATTTGCTCACAAATAGGATCACTAGAAGTAATCTGTTGCGAAATTGCACCATCATCTTCAGATTCACTCAACATATATGACTTTTTAAGGCGCTTTCGGCTGCTCTTCCTAGTCCCATCTTTCTCCTGTTTTACTACAGGGTAACAAAAATCAAAATCATCTATTCTCTTTTAACCTAGAAATAAACCATGAACTATATAGTAAAATCAAAAGCATTTCAGTGACAGAACATACAAAGACTCAGATTAAACAAGTGCACAGAACAAAACAAGTTTATCTCTAAGTGCGGGCATGCATATGCGTGAGTGTGCTTTGAGTATCCCACAAATAGGGGGATTTTTTCCCAAATTAAGCTTTATACGGAAATTATTTACGAAATTGGTCTCGTGGCAAAAGTATTTCCCAAACTAAGCTTCTGACTCAGTTTTAAAAAAAAAAAAAATTCAAGACATAAAACGCTGTCTCAGGCAGCGTTTTATGGTAGTTTGACTTTTTTCAAAAACTTCGTATTTCATACCTGTTTTATACAAATAAACGCTGCCTCAGGCAGCGTTTAATGTACAAGCATAAAACGCAGCATGAGGCAGCGTTTTTATCTGTACATTAAATGCTGCCTCAGGCAGCGTTTCTTGCGGGAATTATAACGAATTCCAGGCCTTTTTTTTCTCAATCTCTTTCACGCAATTTACACTCTCTCTCTCACTAACTCTCATTGTCAGCAACAAAGAACCACAGTCGTTGCCAACGCCTCCCCTGTCGTGCCGCCGCCCCTGCCGCCGCCAAAGTGAACGGAAGTTGTTGCCGGCATTGTCTCACTCACTCTTTAAATCCGGGTAAACCCTAAATTCGTAGTACATTGTTGAATTTTACATTGAATAGTTGGTAGTAGATAGTTGTTGTATGTTGTAGCAAATTGTGATGTAAATTGTATTAATTTGTTGCTAATTAGTAATGAAATGTGATAAATTGTTGATAATTATTGATGATAATGTGGTACATTGTTGAGGAAAAATATAGACGAAAGTGTTGATTAAATTGTCGACAAAATTGTTGATGAAATTGTAAATGATAATGTGGTTTGTTTTTGATGAAATTCTTGATGGTAATGTGGTCTATTATTGTGAAAAAAATGATAAAATTGTTGATGGTAATGCGGTATTAGTATGTTGATAGTTGTATGCGGTACTAAGAGTTTATGAAATTGGTGATGAAAATGTTGATAATGAGAATGGACTTGTTTCATTGTTGTCATATTAGCTACACATGTAGGTTCTCGAAATTTGATATAACTTTCCATTATCGAAGCTATGTATGTTATGTATTGTTAAATTAGGGTTTTTTGACGTTGTTTTAGAATTCGATTATCCTTAAATGTGTTTTGGTTGGTATGTAGAATATGGCTTCACAAAATTTAGTGTTGTTATGCCGGTGGGGAGGTGAAATTATGTGCGATGGATCAAATGTTGAGTACAGTGGAGGGAATATGGAACTTATAACACTTGAACCGAACATGACTGTGAATGATCTGATGAATGAGGTTCACAGTAGTATCGGCTCAAACCCAATGAATGCTGAACTGAACCTTAAAATGAGGTGTGAGACTGGGCATGGGGTTCAAGTGTTACCTGTCTCCACAAACAAACATTTAAAAGCTTTGAGAAGCATTGTTACAATGAAGGGTGTTCCCAATGAGATATATGTAGAAACAGTGCCTATATGTACCCAACAAAGTACTTGGCAGAACAACATCCTACATATGTCTCCGATTACAACACCGCGTCCTTCCAAGGCCCTTCAAACCACATTCCATCGAATGAATATGGGTTGGGAACTTTCAGTCGCTTGCTGCATGATGATCAATTTCAGATGCCTTCGCAGCCGTACCCACCAGAGCCCAAGGTTGAGCGGGTGCGAGATATGGGCATACATAGCTTGCAGAGATATGGCCATGGCCATCTCGTCCACCGCAGGGACGATCATGACCCGAACTCCTTCCATTCACAGTTCGACTACGGACAGAGTAGTGGTGGAGGTCATACTTCGGGCTCTACACAGGGCAGAGGATTACTTCATCCATAACACCGCTCCCGGCCACAGCCAGGATGACTCATCGTCTCGCCAGCTGACTCCTCCACCGTCCCGAGACCCATTCACCACCATTCAGCATTACACGAGGCGTCCGAGGCGTGTTCGTAGACGGACGGAGGACACACAGGATGGAGATCAGTTAACTCCAATACATGAGTCCAGATAGTATTAGTTAGTTGATCCTTTTGTGGTACTCAGATATTTAACAATGTTGTATATAACGCTTACATTATTAATACAAGAAATGTTTTCTAAATGACTCTCTGTACAATTTGAAGTTTATTTCCCTTATTTGTCCGAATTTGACTTTTGTTAGTGAAACTATATCTTTTATATCCGTTATATGTATCAAGCAGCATATATTTGGTCTCCTGCACTTAAAGTGTTGTTTCACGATGGTTATCATGCTGTTGGGGTTGTTTCCAGTGTTTGATGGTTGTCGGTGGTGGTCGATGGTGGTGGAAAGGTTGGGGCTGGAAGTGGGAATGCTCTTGCGTTGTTTAGGGTGTTTTATGGTAGTTTATGGGTGGTTGAGAGTGGCGGGCGGTGGTGGTGGGGGAGGTGGTTGATGGTGGTGGGGGTGGTGGGAATGTCCTTGCGTTGTTTAGGGTGTTTTGCATTGCATAGGGGTGGTCGAGAGTGGCGGCCGGTGGTGGTGGGGGAGGTGGTTGATGGTGGTGGATGGTGGTGGGGGTGGTGGTTCATGGTGGAGCTGATGCTGTTGGGTGAGGATTATGTGTAGGGACAGCAACAGATTGCAGAAACTGCTGGTGATGCACTGTAGCAGATGCTGCTAGTAATGCAGTCTAGCAGAAAAAACGCTGCCTGAGGCAGCGTTTTATGCTTTAACATAAAACGCAGCCTCAGGCAGCGTTTTATGTTTACATAAAACGCTGCCTCAGGCTGCGTTTTATGCTTCAAATAAAACGCTGCCTCAGGCTGCGTTTTATGCTTCAAATAAAACGCTGCCTCAGGCTGCGTTTTATGCTTCAGGCAGCGTTTTAAAGCCCATATACATATTGCAGTATAATTTGGCAAAATATAGTAGTATATTTTGCCAAAATACATACCAACAGGTCAACAAGGTAAAACGCTGTCTGAGACAGCGTTTTACTTCTTGAATTTTTTTTTTAAAAAAAACTGGGTGTAAAACGCTGTCCGAGACAGCGTTTCACCCCAGAAGTTTAGTTTGGGAAATACTTTTCCCACGAGACCAATTTGGTAAATAATTTACCAATAAAGCTCAATTTGGGAAAAAAAACCCAAATAGGGTAAATGAAGCATTTTATGCATGCCCATACCAACAAAAACAAACTGAATGTGCAAACAAAATCAAAGTTGATTACCATCCAGCATAGCAAACATAATTGAACAGAACAGTCCAAGCATTGTTCAAATTCAAGAATCAGGATGCAGCTCACTTCAAGGGACAGGGATAACAGGCACGTGTATCTCATTCATCTTGCAGAATGGTTCATGAGTACCATGATGGCCTCAAATTTACCAAATATCTCATACATAGAATAAATAAATATAAAGGATTCCTAATCCATGTATATAAGGAGCCATGGGTGAAATGACATAGTATCCTCAAATTAGATATGCTAAGAATAAAATACCATTACACCATACAGAATTAGCACATCAAATAACATACATTCATTACTAGACGAAGGTGATGGAGCAAAGACTTCTGGATCACTGTCATCAATGAAGCTATCCTCTTCATAGTCGTCATCTGCATTAAGATCTTCTGTGTCCGTCTCTCCAACATCTTCTCCGTATGATTCACTTACAATGCCGTTAATAGAAAACATATATTAAAAGCATTAAAGAGAAAGAAAAGGTGTTGCATGCACAGGTCAATTGGTACCAAGTCACCAACATTTCTTCCTGCATTTGATAGCTACATATAGTTCATGAGAAGCATTTTCTTTCAATCTGTAGTTCTGTACAGAAGCAGCGTTGATTCATGGATAAATAGCAGGACTTGTTATCACCAGCATTATTTCAGACTATTTACAGATAGAAATCGATAATATATGAAACATAATAATTAAATAATCTTAAATGTAGGGCATATAAACCTCTAACAAATTGGTTCTTAAGACAAACTTTATATATACAATGTGCCTCCCCTAGCGGATGAGGGAAGTAAGGACATGGAATTACCCTACAATAACAGCGAGCCTTGTTTCTCATAATGCTACAGGCTACAGCTTTACAAAATCATAAAACAGAGTAACTACTCCTGACTCTTGAGACACCACCAAGAAGTCAAAAGCAACAAAAAAACTATTTCAGTATAACCTTAAAATTCTGTTCATGAATGAAATATACAAAAACTAACAAGGACAAGCATGTAATAATATTGGCAAAGCATCATCAAGCAATAAAATAACAGAAACTAATACTATTGGTAAACTCGAAACTAACAGATACGAATCAACATTTTGGGCAATCAACATCTTCAAGAAATCATAAATTAACCTTATCAGCCTAATTAGCACAATAAATGGGTCACATGCAGCAACCATTAGACTTACTAGCGTACTAAAAGTTGTAGATTTGTCGAGGTTTTATCAGCTAATTAGCCTAATTTCATATGTCCTATGTCCTGCCAACCCAATTTACTAAAAAGCTTAAAAAAACAAATGAGAAACAATACAATCTAGCACTAATCAATACATTCAATTTCAGTGCTTGGCCCATAACTTTAATACCTTAAATGTCTAACATCCCCTTCTTAAGTACTCGTAGCTGTAAAGCAAAAACCAGGTTACTTTTGCAAAGCCTATGTCATTTAGGCATCACATAGAATAGAAACACCTCAATATGTGCATGATGAAACATGAAACTAAAGTGTATGATGAAACAATGAGTTTCAAATTATTTGCTTGAAAAAGGATACGACTCATCATCCCCGGCCAAACTACGTCGAGCATTGCCTACAAAGTATCCGGTAAGGTAGACACTACGAGGACCAACAACAGATAAAGTGACTTCTTCAGCCTCATCAAACTCTGATTCCAAATGAAGGTACTCAGCTTTATCAGGCAATAAAACACACAACATAACAGGAGTCTTCTTGCCAACATTGCACTGAACATAACTCTTGTTGTTTGAAGCACCCATTCCTAGTGTAGCCTACAGTACCCAAAAATTATTAAAGGAGATTATTAATTTATAAAAACTTTATCATTTGATTATATTTGCAACACTTAAATTCCTGAATCAGGTAAGAACTTAAGAAGAAATTACCTGGGAAATACGGAGTTTTCCACATGATTGGTTAGGTGAAAGAGTAAATGGCTTTCCTGGTTTAATTTCAACTCCTACAAATCATCACAATTTAAACAAATACCCATTAATTTAATCCAAATCCTAGTAAATTTACAATTAGAAAAACCCATTTTCAAAACATAATTGTAATCCTAAAATCAATCACAAAATAGGAAAAACCCCATAAATTTATCCAAAAAATTTCAACTAGAAAAAACCCCATTTCATAACATAGGTTATAAGATAGCGAACTATAATTACAATTAAGGTACAATTGAACAACAAAAAAAAAGAGAGAAAATAAGAAAAACTGACCCCAAAAAGCCATGTTTGCAGAAAAATCACCACTTCAGCACCTCTTCTTACTCTCAATGCAAATACAAATGAGAAATTTGAAATGAAAAAACAAAGAAATGTAAGGACTTTGTCTTTTCTATTTCCCAGATGAATAGATGATTAAAACCCAATTTAATTGAACATGGGTTAATTAATCAAACCGCCCTAAAATGTCGAGAAATGAGGAGAGAAAAATTAGCATTAAATTGGGTGTTAATGGCGGTTTTGGCGCCAATTCTAATACGTATTCAGGGGATGTAGGGTTTTCTCTTTGGTTTATTTCCAAAATTATTTTTTTTTATTATTTTTTTTATATATAAAGCACGGGTTGTTCAGCCCGATCACAGCTTGTCATGTAAGCCCACCGTGGTGTTTAAGGCATTGAGCTACTAGCCTACTACGGCCTTTTCAACTTGATAACCATGTCTAAATTTATGGGCTAAGCAAAACAAATTATCCGATTTAGGGTTTTTACTTTTGTACTTCATTATAGGGTATAAGATATTCAATACTATTGCCGATATAAAGAAAATTAAAGCCCTTTGTCATTTTGTTATCCACCTTAGGTGCACTTTGCTTAGTAACACACATAAAATGTTAACTAATAGCTATCCTTGAGGAAATTTTCTTAGTCAATAATTCAATACTTAGTTGACTCAATTTTAAGGCATAACACTTTATTTTTATTATTTTCATAGATGGCATGAGCCAGCTAGTCAGCTACTCATAAAATAATATTCTATCCACCAACTATAATGAAAAAAAAAAAAAAAAACTCATTGACAATTACCCCCTCCATCACATGATAGAGTACATAATAGAGTACTTATTTCATATTTAGCGGTGTTAAGATGTGTCTATTACCATTAATATCTTTAATTATGCATGAACACAAGTCATAAATTAAAAAGTTGATATTGTAAATTAAAACTACATATTGAAACGAATTTAAGGATATCTCATCACATGAATATAATATTTTATGAAATATATTATATATTGATGACTTAATGAGAATGTGGTGAATATAATTAAGGCCCCGTTCTATTCACCTTAATTTTGCTGAACTGAAATTATTGTTACTGAACTGAAATTATTTTTGTTGAACTTAAATTATTTTTACTGAACTTAAATTAATTTTACTGAACTGAAATTATTTTTGCTGAACTGAAATTATTTTTACTGATTTTCTATTATAATTCTTCTTTAACAAAATTGAATTTTACTGAATTGAACTTATTTTTACTGAATTGAAATTAATTTTATTGAACTAAACTTATTTTTATTAAAATGAAATTATTTTTACTGAACTGAAATTATTTTTACTTAATATTATTTTTTTTAAGGTGAAGAGAACAGGGCCTAAGTTTGATAAAATTAAATTAGAATAGGCATTATATTATGAGACGAAGGGAGTATCACACGATATCAATCTTAGAAAATTTGCCTAAAATTCAAGTCTTAAATCAACTTATGAGTTTTTTTTTTTCAAACATTGACCTTGGTTTTGGCTTGTTTACATGTGGAAAGAAATTACTTCAACCTATTTTCTTTTCTTTTTGCAATTGTTTGAGGAGGATAAGGATAATTGTTACCTTAGGTTTTAGAGAGGTAACAAATGGGTAAAAACCATTCCTCCTATGTAATGGTAATTGTTACTCAATCTTCTAATCAAACACTTGTTAACGGTAATGATTTAACCGAATCCATCTCTACCCAAAAAACACCCTTACCAAACATGCAAATGTAAATTTAAACTTGACCTTGACTTAGTAACAAACAAACCAAACATTGACCAAACCAATTACAAAAGTGCTTTTGGCTTCACCCTACCCCTACATATGGCCAAGTGATCGACCGACATAAGAAGACTAAGGCCCCGTTCTTTAGAGCTGCTCTGCTCTGCTCTGCTGAGCCCTACTCGGCTCAAATTAAATCTGTTGTGCTCTGCTCAAAAGAAATCTGCTCTGCTTTATTTTCAAATAATAATTAATAATAACAATATTAATAATTAATATTCAATAATAATAATTAGTATTGTATTTATGATAATAATTTATTATTCTGAATAATTATAATAATTATTAATATTAAAAATAATTTAATTATTAATATTAATAATAATTAATATTTATTAATCATAATAATAATTATCAATAATAATATTTCATAATTCAAACTATTAAGAATTAATATTTAATAATATTATTAATTAATAATTTCTAATAATTATAACAATTCTTTCAAAATAAATAAATAATAATAATTACAATTAATAACAATTTCTTTTATAAATATTTGATATTATAATCACAATGTGTAGAAACATTTTATGTGGGTATTGATGGTTAATTCATTAAGTTGAATTATTTTTAAAATCTTTCCATACAATCTAGGAATTAAAAAAAAAAGGTTGTTTTCAAGTAGTACTTTGTATATTGTTATTATTTTTGGTGTTAAAAATATATGATTAAGACAAATTTTTAAGGAAAATCATTATTACTCATTAAATCATTTTATTTTAAAATTTTTGTGAAATAAATATAAGTAAATCATTGTCTTTTTTCTTTCTACTATTAACTTATGTTAAATATGGTACACATATATTTATGTTTTCACTCACCTAAATCAATGATATATGCACTTAATAATGATAATGATAATGATAATGATAATGATAATGATAATGATAATGATAATGATAATGATAATGATAATGATAATGATAATGATAATAATAATAATGATAATAATAACAATGATATTAATAATAATAATAATGATAATAATGATAATAATAATAATGATGATAATGATAATAATAATAATAATAATAATAATGTTGAAATCTGCTCTGCTCGGCTTGGCTCTGCTCTGCTATCTTGAAAATCTGCTTGTTGAAATCTGCTCTGCTCGGCTCGGCTCGGCTCTGCTCTGCTCTGCTATCTTGAAATCTGCTCTGCTAAAATTTAATCTGCTCTGTTGTGCTGACCCCTGCTCTGCTCTGCCCAGAAGCTCAAAAGAACAGAGCCTAAGTTACTATATATAAATAAAACTCGATTCACCAACATCCTTTAATTTCATTCCTCTTTTGATACATACAACTATTCAATAAAGAAACACAAAAGCAAAACTACAACTATTCAATCCTAGCCACCCTCCTCGGAGTCACTACGCCCCTTAGATTCTCCAATAAAACAGTTTGAAGATCCTCCGGGACCGCCTCAAAGATGATCAAAGATTGCTCCACGGATACCCCATAGTTTACCAACCAGTCGGCTACCCTATTTGTTTCCCTGTAACAATGGTCGATAGTGATTTATCATCCTTGTCTTGCAATTAGGGTTTTTCACTTTCAAAGAATGTGAATTTAAGGGGAGTTAGAAGGAATAGGATCCTTTAACATACGAACCACCACTTCCGAGGCTGCTCGAACCTGAACTCTTCGATGGACGGCATTCCACGCAATGGCTAGGCCTCTCATCAGAGCCAATGACTCTGCTCTAGTACGCTTTCACACACCACACATGAGCGCAAACACCTCGTGCATCCTTTGTATGGCTTTGAACCACCCCATCAGCTCTAGCAGCACCTGGATTCCCTTTGTTTGCTCCATTTGTGTTGAGGCAAACCCAACACTTTTATTGATAACTTAATGAGAATGCATGTGGTAAATATAATTAAGTTTGATAAAATTAAATTAGAATAGGCATTATATTATATTATGAGACGAAAGGAGTATCACACAATAACAATCTAGAAAATTTGCGTAAAATTCAAGTCTTAATTAAATCAATGGATCCCGTTCAAAAAAAATAAAATTAAATCAATTGATGAGATTTTTATTTTTTTTTCAAACATTGACCTTGAGTTTGACTTGTCAACATTGAGGAGCATTTGTTATGAATATTGGAAATGGTGAGGAAAGGAAATAAATAAGAGAGAGGAAAAGAATTATTAATTCTTACCTTTTCATTTGTTTGGTTTAACCATGGAAATCAATTACTTAAACCTATTTCCTTCTCTTTTTGCAATTGTTTGAGGAGGCTAGGGTAAAAATAATTGCTACTTTAGGTTTTAGAGAGGTTGGTAACAAATAGGTAAAAACCATTCCTCCTAAATAATGATAATTGTTACTCAATCTTCTAATCAAACACTTATTACCCCGATAATGATTTAACCGAATTCATCTCTACCCAAAAAACACCCTAACCTAACATGCAAATGTAAATTTAAACTTGACCTTGACAAACGAACCAAACATTGACCAAACCAGTTACAAAAGTGCTTTTGGCTTCACCCTGCCCTTACATATGGCCAAGTGAACCGACAAAAGAAGACTTTTTTTTTTTTTTTTTTTTTTACAAAAGATAAGAAGACTAAGTTACTATATATAAATATCACTCTATGCACCAACATCCTTTCATTCCTCTTTTGATACATACAATAAACCATCCTTAACTAATTACCATATAACATCAAAATTTTGCCCAAAAGAGAGAGAGAGAGAGAGAGATTAATTATCATGGCATACAACAAGAATAATAGTTATAATTACAAGATGATGTTACAAAAGAAGCAAGAACCCACCAATTTACTAAACTTCGTATTCATGTCAACCGTTAACAAAGCCTCTAAGATGCTTTTATCCGTGGTTTCCAACAATTATGCCTTAGATTTTTCTTCACCTTCTTTTACTAATAATAGTAATAATAATAATAAGTGGAAGGTTAAGGATCATTTGAGGTTTATGTCTTTGCTTTTCACCTGGTTCACTATGTGGGCCCTTCGCCTTGTCTCCGATGTTATTCCTACTTCTTCCTCACTATTTTCATCTCTTAATCATCGTAAAATTACAAGTAGTAGTAATGTTATGGTTGTTGATCATCATGGAGATGGCCATGGTGATGGATCATCGTCGGCGGCGGCGGCTTTGACATCGGTGTCGTATTCTCCTGTTCAGAATCTAGACTTGATTTCTCATGATGGGTTCTTAATAGAGGGTGGCGGCGATCATCATCATCGGCTTCAAGCTGGATTGTCCGTTGAAGCTCTTAGTAGAGCGCTCTCCCATGTAAGGCCTGTTTATTTATCCTTAAATTAATTTTACTGAAATAAAAATGATTTTTTTTAGTGAATATTAATTATTTATATAAGCTGATGTGAATATTGAATAGGGCCTAGGCTATGTTCTTCTGTAATCTTATTTTTGCTAGACTTAACTTATATTCAAGATAAATAGGTAATTAAAGATGCTGGTTTATGCCGAATTTTTGTTAAACTAAACTCAATTTTTAATGTGCGACTTGATTTATTATTTTTGTTAAACTAAACTCAATTTTCAATTTTGTGTTGTTTATGTTAGGGAGATGTCCTAGTTTTTTCAATTTTGTGTTGTTTATGTTAGGGAGATGTCCTAGTTAGAAGTTCTTATAAATCTATAATGTCTCATTCTTAATTTAACTTTTAATGACAAAAATATGTCTAGTATTTAGCTTGCTTAGTGTCTGTTCAATTAGTTAATAATCAATAAATTACGTATTGATTGATTATGTAAGTGATTATTTAATTAATAATCGGATATTTTGACTTTAAGTTTTTGTTACTCTAACCATTTCATATTCATATTTGTTTCATCATTTGCAATAATTCATTTTAAGAAAGTGAGAAAGTTTTAGTACTCGCATAATAATTATTCTTAAGTTAATATTTTATAACATGGTAAAAAATAGAAATAGAAAATCCAAAATACGAAAGAGTCGGTTTAACACATGTATGAAGAGGAAATGGAAAAGTGAAGTAATCTGTTTTGTTGATTTGTGGGCAACAAGAAGACAAATTATGGTAACTTCCATTCAAGTGGAAGAATTGTATTTTAGATCACGTGGCTTAGCAAGAAAGTCACGTGGCAAGGACAAATATCTTGTGTCGTCTAGTACAAGTGCTTTCGGTGTAAATTTGTGTAGTTATACACTTATACGTATAACACATGCCTTTCATGCAAATAGATATAGTGGCTATTCCTCCCTTCTTGGGACTAGGAAGCAAGAAATCAACATTTCTTCTAAGGTAGCAAGAAATCAATCAATACAAAACCAAAACCAAGTATCCAACATGGAAATATCGATTATCAACAATAATATAATATTCGGATTTTTCACCATATACCACTGAGTTTAAACTTAATTCACCATATCGAAAACTTTCTAATACACCATATACCATTCAGTTTAACAATAATGTCACAACATGCCCTTTCCGTTAACTCAGTTAGTCCTTAAGATTAATTGTGCCACATGGTTGCTTGTAATTGGTTCTTATTAATATTATTTAGTTAATTAATTAATTTTGGAAAAATTATTCAAAAAAAATTAAAAAACATAACACCACCAACTCAGCCACTGCCGCCCCCAGCCCATCTCTAAACCCCACCCCCGGATGGCAACCAGGTCCACTTCCCGGCCGACCAGCATCCCTTCGTCCCGCCGACGAAAATTTTGAGCCAAACCACCTCTCCTTCTCGAATTCCCAGCTACCACCTTAGGTGAATTCCCCTCTCCCTCCCGATTGCAACCACCAACCCACCACTTTATCCTAATTCCCCAGCCACCACCTTTAGGGGTGTTCAAATACGGATTCCCGGGTACCCGGAGTTTCGGGTAGTTGGTAATTCGTCCCATGTCCCGATTCGAATATCTCGGGTACCCGGGTTTCGGGTACCCGAATTATTCGGGTCGGGACGTCGGGTACCCGGATTTTCTCATTCTCTAATTGGCATTCCCTCATTCTCAAAAAGCTTCCTGTTAAAAAAAAAAAAAAAAAAAAAAGCTGAAACACCAAGAAAAGCACGCATACAAGCATAATATAACCATAAACATCACCAATTAAAAACTAGAGAATGAATCAAATAACCTCAATCAAACAAATACTTAGTAAATTAATAATCTTTTAATAAAATTCAATTACAAGTATAAGAGAACAATATTGGAATCTTTCTCTTGAAAACTTTGTGGAGTTCGGGTAGAAGACCCCAGCTGCTGCTTCATCTTCTTCTCTAGAACAGCCGCTGCTTCATCTTCATCTTCTTTGTGGCGATTCGGCTTCAAAACTTAGGGGTTAGCAGAAGAAGGAATAATTAATTAATTAGGCGTTGAAATTGGCGGATGAAAATGAAGGAAGGTTCAACAATGGCGTAAGGAGAGAGAAGATGGAGGCAATGAGAGTGAAGTGAGACCAAATTTACCATTGAAGGAAGCATATCTATGAGGAGAGAGAGAGAGGAAGAGAGAGAGCAGCAGAGGGGTATTTTTTTCTGAGGAATGAGAACCTTAATGGCTAATGGGCTGTGTTAAATTTTGAGGGTTTTTTATTTTTTTTTTTATTTTCGAGAATTCGGGTACCCGGGTATTAAAAAATGTGGCCATGTCCCGACCCGGATTAATATTCCCGGGTCGGGTACCCGTCCCGAAAAAAACAGTTTTTTCCCCAAATTTCCCATCGGGTATTTACCGAGTCATTGGGAAATCGGGTCGGGTTTTTTTGAACACCCCTAACCACCGTAGCAGAATTCTCCAGCCACCACCTTCGCCGGCAGCCCAAACCCTCTCTCACATGTCGCCGCCACCCAACTTGCCCTAAAACCACCACCCCCAAAACCCTTAAACACCAAAATCGAAAACCTAGATTTTGGTTTTGGGTTTCGGCGTGTACGTGGTGGTTTAGTGAGGTGAAGATGGCATCGGGAGAGGCAAATTCAGTTAGCCAACGTGTAGAAGTAGGGTTTGGGTGTCGGCCGATGGTTAGGGGAGTGTTTTCGAGAGAGATAGGGGTTTTGGTCAAGGGAGGCAGTGAGACATGGTGGTTCAAGGGAAGAGGAGCAGCACCGTCGAGGGTTCCGGTCAGATTTTGGGCCGGCGTGGGGGGTTTTGGTCAGAGTTCAGGCTGGCGTGAGGTTCTGGTTGGATTCCGCCGACGGGCGGTGGCAGGCTGGGAGGACGTGGGTGGCTGGATGTTGGTTTTAAATTTTTTAATAATTAATTAAATAATTATTCTAAAATTAAATATTTTAAAAGGGGAACTAATTATATGTTGCCACGTGGCATTATTAGCCTTAATGACTAACGGTGTTAACGTCCGTTAGTCATTAATGGCATGTTGTGACATTATTGTTAAACTGAATGGTATATGGTGTATTAGAAAGTTTTCGATGGTATATGGTGAATTAAGCTTAAACTCAGTGGTATATGGTGAAAAAATCCGTATAATATTTCTTTTATATTTTATTATTTGCTCTATCTCTTTATGCACAAAATTTTAGAAAAAATATTAAAATAATAAAATATGAACGAATTAGGGTTGGTGGAAAATAAAGTACGATAGTTAGGAGCAGAGAGAATATCAAATACGAAGGAAGTATACTTCAGATTTATTATACTTCCTTTTTTTTTCGTTCAGAAAAAAGGAAGTATAATAAATCTGAAGTGGATTTAGTTATACAATACTAATTCAATTTATACCCTTTAGTACTTTTAAGTTTTAATTATTTCTAATTTTAATATATGTAGTATGTACTAATTAAAAAGGCAATTTATGGATCATACTAGACTACAATTTTTTATTTTATATATGTACAATGTAGTTCGTGGAATATACATGCTAAGTAAGTATTACATATGGAGTATTAGTTAATTATAAAAATGTCACCAATTTTATGTCTTGACGATTAAAATAGGCCTCATTCCATTTACCATATTTGTACTAGTAGTTAACCTTTTACCAAGCTTGCATTAGTTTTGACGATTTTTTTTGTTACAACTTGATTACAGATACTAGCTTTACTAAATGAGCTACCAGCAACATCAAAGAAATACGAATTCGCGGTAGCAATGGCTGACAGGCTACTAGACGACAACACTCGTGATGGTAATGTAGAGCTTCTTCACGTCAATAGTGTAGCATTATCATCCGCATTCGAGTGCACGGTCAATCGATTGTACCACATCCTCAACAATGCTGCAATATCCCATGTTGATCAGGCTAACAATCGCGGTGGTCCATGGACCTTACGTGTGATACGTAAACTTCCTTTAGGAACATACATCTCGGCCTACATGAAGGGTGGTATAAGCGCTGTTTTTCCACATTTGCACTCGATGTGGCAACTCCAAAAAAGGCGGTCCATGATGAACGACGATGGTGATGGTGGTGGCGATGAATTTGTTGGGAGTGATCAAAGTGCAGAGGTCGTGGGAGCAGAGAAGCTAGCACAAGAGTTGTTGTGGATTATTCATAAACTTAGGGCATGTTACGCGGTTGATGAGGCCTTAGTACAATGGAGCCTTGCTTCTAACTTGGCTTCCCTTTCTCTCAATGCCAATCCTAGGGTCCAAGCTCTTCTCATTAAAATTTCGGGTAATTTTCCATAAATCAATTTAATTTCCTACTTATTTAGGCTCTGTTTTATTCACCTTATTTTCACTTATTTCAGGTCTAATAAGTTCATATTAATTCAGTTTAGGAAAATAAGTTTTGATAAGGTTTAATAAATTCAGATAAGTTCATATATGTTCAGATAAAAATCATGTAAATAGAACACATCCTAATCACACCTTAACGTGCATTGCATAATTCATTGTGTTGCATCTATGATAACACATTGTTCAAGTGTTCATCATATGTACCTAGTGATTATTCTAATAATGTTGGAACTTATTATTGTACGTGCAGCTTCATTATTAGGAGACATAGCTCAAGCAGAATTCAAGGTTCACACACAAGTCCAATACAGATTGTTAGTGCTCTGGCTTCCGTTATTTTGCTATGCTTGTAGCGGCCTAAGGTACCCGGTGTTGTCAAGTTATGAGAAAATCGACGTTGAGAGAACAATGGAGCGAATGATAGCAAGCCTCTCAGCCACGGAACAAGAGGTCGTGCTAAGAAATTGGTTGCAAGACTTTGCTATATGCTCCTCGGATTGGCCTAATCTTCGACCATCATATGATCGTTGGTGCCAATGTTCGCGTCAACTTGTTGCCTAAGAAAATAAGTCCGGATCAATCTATAATATGGCAAAATTTGGTTTGTATGTATGAATTACTGGGTAAATGTTAGATTGTATCTCGTACTATATGTATCATATTGCTAGTTTCATGTATTAATCAACTCCTTTCTTAGATCAGGATGTAAAATTTGAAAGTTCTCATATTCTCATGCTTACATTTTCATGATGAATTAAGTACATATGTTTGGTGTGTTTTTTTTAAAGCAAGTGGATGTAAATATGTAATTTTACACATACCCAATACCCGAATATTATGCGTCTTTAATCTTCATGTGGACAGAATTTCATAAATTGATGTTATTTGTTACTTGAAATCTAGAATGGCAGAAAAAAGGTTGACTTCAAATGCACGTATGGCTCTCAATCAAGAAAAGAAATTATTCTAATAGTTGATTCAAACAAGTTAGAGATGAATAGATGATAGCGTGTTTTCACATATATTTTTTAAATGGCTAGTTTTATACTTTTATACTCATATACTTCTTCCGTTTTTTAGTTGACACACTTTGACTTTAGTAATATACACAAACTACACTTTGACATGCTTTTGTGATATTAGCTTCAATAAAACATAATTATCTGAGATTTTTTTGAATCGTCTCAATGTAAATTTTATTAATATATATCCAGTTTTTATAATTTTACAACATCGATAACTAGAGGTTGGTATTAATCGATAAAATTGTTTAAAGCTTATAATTAGAGATATTGATCATAATTTTAGATTGCCATATTACAAACTAACAAGAATTTATTAGAAGCTTTAAATATATTAAACTATTAAGCAACATTATTTATTAGAAAGCAATTTGGCTATGGGAAGCAACAACTTGTTATTTTTCTTTTCCAACTTTCGAAAACACCCGCCTTTAGTTAATAATGGCCACTTTGCTACACATTGAGTTGTGCAGTCTTGTTCATTGCAATCTGGATACACAAAACAGTGCCCCCATGGATCAAAATGACCATTTTCTTCTGCTATTGTTCCACCTGTATTTATATTTTAAATCATCTCATTTAATTAGGTATTGATATAACTTAATTAATTACATGATCATGTATATATGTAACAAAAAATAAATAAAAGTTCCAAACATCTAATAATGTGCTAGACATCATGTACATACATTAGTTTATTTATTTATTTTTTTTTTCCTTCTTTTAAGCAAACCCGACCTTTATATAATGGTGAAAAGAAGATTACTAGTAAGGAACAGATGACAACAATAAGAAGATGAAAAATTACTCCGTATTTCATATTTTATTTGACTAATTTAATACTTATGAAGATATTTGATTTGGTCTTATTCAATTTGTATCTTAAAAAAAATTAAATTCACTTTATAGACCTAGGGAAATTGCTTAAACTTACCTGAAGAAATAGCAAGGACTATGACAATGATAAATAGAAGAGGAAATTGCTGATTGAACTTCATGATGATAGGAAAACACAAATTTGGATCGATGATTCAATGTAATTTGTTAGAGGAAATAGTAAAGTTTAATACAGAGTACTATATAGGAGTAGAATGTGACCCTAAATTTAAGAATACCTATAATTATTCCATTAAATGCATTTATGAAATATGAATTAGGTTTATTTTTTCTTTGCTCAATGCATTTATCATGTACATATCATTTCATTAAGTAGCAGATCTTTATTGTTTTTTTTTTCCTTTTTTCTTTTGATCTCCTTCCTTATTTGATTCCTTATTATAATTAAAGATCCAAACGGAAACTAGGACGACTAATGAGCACACTGCGAATTCTAACTCAGACCCGATGACCCGACCCTGACCCAAAATTGACCCAAAAACATCGACCTAAAAATTGTAACTCGAAATTGATCCAACCCGACCTATACCCGACTCGAAAATGGAGTTGACCCGATACTGATCAGACCCGAAGTGTTTAACCCAAACAAATTTGATCCCAAAATTGACTCGAACATACTTTGATATCCGAAATGTCCCGAACTAGCTAAAATTACTTTATAATTGAACTTAAAAAGTCTGGTAACAAAAATAACTCATATCGTTCATCTTCAACCGTGCTAAGCGCATAAACCGATTTGATAGCTCTTATTATAACAATTTCAAAATATAAAATTATTGATTTGAGCTTGATCCAAAAATAGAACAATCCGAACATGATCCGACCTGATTTTGACCCGGTCTGTATATGACTCGAACATACTTGAATTGAAAATGGTCTGACCCGAAATGACCTGGCCATAACTCGACTCGAAACCTCAGCTCACATGAATCATACCCAAAACCTGAAATGACTCAACCCAATCCATAGCCGACCCGAAATTGACCCGCCTATACCCAACTTGAACGACCCATTTGCCAGGTCTAGCTATAAGCCTATAACTAGTCATGTCCCGAAAACACTTTTAGTTTGATTTTTTTTAGTGTAAATATTTGTACACTATTCTTATACACAAAGTTTCATATGTGGCTAACCACACCATGTGGTCAGGGTTACTCCTTCAGGGGTTCTTCGATCGATTAGGGGTTACATAGTCAGGGGTTACTTGGTTAGGGTTACTCAGCGAGTCAGGGCTTACTAGATCAGGGGTTACTCAGTCGGTCGGGATTGGTCAAGGATTTACTTGATCAGTTAGGAGTAACCCGGTCAGTGTTTTGGTATGTGTTAGCCGGACACACGGTGTGGTCAGCCTCATAGAAAACACGCTGAATCTTAAAGAGTTGAAAAAAGACAATTAACATTAATGGAAGCAAATAAATAATAAGCATTTAAAGGAGTATATCTGTTAAAACATTATTTATATGAGTTATTTCAAACTTTTTAAAAGGTAAAGGGTATAGATTGGCTCTTGATATATTTCCTTTTGTTGCATCACTACATGGTCTTCTTGAAACACTCAAACCCAATCGGAATTGAGTTGGCCCAAATACATGAAATTGATGAGCCAAAACTAACACAAATTGAAATTGTTTTGACCCATTGTTGAATCAAACTCGAAAGTTAAGTGATACAATATTGGTCCTTGACCCAATCCAAACCTTTCCCAAAATCAACTATGGCTTAAACTAAAAATAGTATATTGTGGGGATTGAGCTAACTCGGATGTATCTAACCTAATCAATACTTATAAGACTCCAACGCTGAATGATGAATACAAGTTATCGTATACGACTTGAATCAAAGTCAAAATATCATTGCTTAAATATGACGTAACCTGAATGAACTCAACCTAAACTCTCAAAAATCTGTACTTAAATACGAGTATAAAGTTACAAAATAAGAATTAATTACTTTTAATAAATCTCTTAAAATTACAATTCTAATTTTAAATAGATAGACATTAAATAATACTCATATTTTATATTACGAGTAATTAATTAATAATACGACTAGGAAATGACGTAGATGAAAAACACAAGTAGTTAAAACAAATTCTAACACGAGTATACTTGTAAATTTTAACGTTGCAAAAGCCAGACGCTACCGAACCAAGTATCCTATTTATATCCCCCCTTTTTTTTCCACCTTCAGGTTTTCATCTTCTTTTTAAAAAAATTTCAATCTCTCTCTCTCTCTCTCTTCCCCACTCAATTCAACATTCTACGAATTTTTTCGTCACTTTTTTCCGTCAAAAAAAAAATCTAATTAAAAAAAAAGCCGATAATTCTCCGTCGCCGTCTCCGCCGCCATGGATGAGAACTCAAAGATAGTCATCGATGGTGGCGCTGCTAAAACATCCACCGATGATTCCGCCCCAACAAACCCTAACCCTAATTCCGATATCACTACTTCTACTAATACTACTACATCTACCAATTCCAACTCCGCCGCCGTTAACGGCGGTGATTCCGTCGCCGTTGATGGCGATGGTGGATCGGACGGTGCTGGTCTCTCTCGACAGTCTTCTAGAACTCCCTTCACTAACCTCAGTCAGGTTGATGCTGACCTCGCTCTTGCCCGCACTTTACAGGAGCAGGTAATTTCTTTATCATTCTATGTTTTCAAGTTTTTATTTTATTATTTAAGCGATGAATTTGGAAATTTATGAGTTGTTTTTTATTTTGATTTATTGTTTATTATTGTTAACGGTGTTTTTTCAGTGATGATTAATGTTGTAATTGTGTAATGAAAGCTTAATTTTTAAACTAAAATGACGAATTTAGAAGTTTATGAGTTGCTTTTATAGTTTTATTTATGTTTGTTAGCTAATTGTTTGTTTATTATTTATGGTGAGCACTGAGCAGTAGTGTAGTTGTGTATTGAAGGTTGATTATTGTAATTTTATCCGTCCATTATTCCTTATATGCAAGCTCCATTTTCCTTTTTCGGATGTTTATAGGAGAATGCTCCATTGCCCTAGTAACGTAATCGACGTGTGATCTCAGTGCTAAACTTTGTTGTCGATAAAATGTGGACATACTATATTACAAAAAGACTTGCGTGGACCTGGTCCACAATAATATTATTGTGGATCCGAGGTCTATACACACGCAACTGACATTATATTGAACATAGTGACCATTATTTTTAACATAGTAACCTTATTTTAAACCTAGTAACCTTTATTAAAACTACTACAACGTTTAATAATATTGTGAACTTGAAATATGACGCTATTACCCTAATTTTAACATAGTGGCCTTTATTATTCATATTGATCAGTATATAAAATATTTCATTACAAAAATAACCACTTAGGCATATATATTACCAAAATAAATTTTTATTTCAATATAGTGACCTTTTTTTTAATTATAGTGACCTTTTTTTTTTATTAATAAAACAACCCTACTTTCTCTAATGTTAGTGGTCCACAATAAATTAGTGTGAACCAGGTCCATTTAAGAATTTGTAACTATATTACGTGTCCATCAATTTTATACAACCTAATATTAAAACTCGTGTAGGAGCATACAATGATACAATTAGGGATGGAGGGAGTAATATACGTGAATTTTTGTTCGTTTGTATTGGGGAGCTTGACAATTTTGAATAAAGTTGGATGACAAACAGAATGTAATTTCGATGAATGTGCTTAATGTGAACTCTGTTATTTACTTAGTTTTTGTGATTTGTTTTTGAGCAGGAAAGGGCATACATGATGCTAAGCATGAATGGGGGTGGGGGTGGGATTGGTTTTGGAAGATGGGAGACTGGAATTTATATTCCTGATGATGAGGATGATGACTTTGGTGATTCCCATGATCATGAATATGATGATGAAGATGAAGACGATGATGATGACGAGGAGAATGAGGAATATATTGACCATTATGATGACGAGGGTGAGGATGCGTTTGACGTTCACGCTCATGATGATTCCGAAGATAACGATGAACCTCATGTTGAACTTGATCCTAGCGCGTATCCTGATGACGAGGCATATGCAAGGGCCTTACAGGATGCTGAAGAGAGGGAAATGGCTGCTAGATTGTTGGCTATGGCTGGCATTACTGAAAGTAAGTGTGGTCTGTACATGAGTTCTGGGCTAATTCGTCATATGATTAGTATAGGGACTATGGGCTTAATATTAATTGTCTCATGGTTGCAGGAGAAATAGTAGATGTGGAGGATCATAGGGCTCATAGGGAAAATTCTCAGGTAGTGTTACTCTTTTCAAAGTTGTTTTATGGTTTATCTATTAGTTATATGTATTTGTTGGTTATTTCTGCTTTAGAAGACATTTTAGACAAGTAACTTTTTTGGCTTGCATTTCATGTGATAGAGAGAAGAATACAATTTTAAAGCATAATTACATGAAACATTGTCATTAATTCCTTTTGTAACTTAGATATGAGTTAAAAAATTTATAAAATTTGACCATTTATGTTAGTATTTGGTCATTGTGTAATTATGTATATTATGCTTAGATCTCTCATTGATAGATTTTTTTAGTAATATTATTATCCTCCAACACTAGTTTCTTCAAGTATGCTATGTGGCATGCAACGTTCTTTTATAGAGCTTGTCAACTTATTCTTATTCATCAAGAGATAAACAAGTTGTAGACACAAAACATGCAAGGGCTCCGTAGGAGTTTTAAACCATTGCCACGGGTTGTTGTATTGGTGCAGTTGCACTGTAACTTGATTTCTACCCAAGAGCTTTTGCTTGTTGCTTTCCTATTTATCTCCCCCCCCCCTTCAACCGAACATGCAAGGGCTCCCTAGGAGTTTTAAACCATTGTAACATAGTGGTGTATTGGCGTAGTTGCACAGTAACTTGATTTCTATCCAAGAGCCCTTTGTTGGTTGCTTTCCCATTGATCCCTATGTCTGATTTAAATCGAGATGATTGTTGCTATTATGGAGACTACTTTTCTCACTTCAGCTTCCTTTGTATGTGTTTTGGACTTGAGTACCTCTCGCATAGTGGATAAGGTGCAGGTCTTATATGACTTATTTTCTATCCCTACCTCCACAATGGCAAAGATGTTTTTATTACTCCATTGTACTATGAGTCATCACTTATTCACTTGGTTACTAATTTAGAGTGAACAAGAAGTTAAAGGGTTTGGTCTAACATGTGATTTAGTCCATTATCCAAATTGAAATGTTGCTAAGTAGATACTCTAAACATAGTTTATATAGAAACACTATCTCATGTTATACCTTGGATTCGAGACCTTATTAATATGTTAATTGGCTTTACCTTCCTAAAAGAGACAAGATATGTTTAGGAGGTTATATTCAATTGTTCATCTTCATGGTGATTCATCTTTGGATAATAGGGTAAGGGAAGGACATTTTTTGATGGATATGTAAAGTAATCTTTTTTACTATGTATGTATTTCATACCATAAACTACTGCGTATCATTAAAAGACGTTTTTGGAGCAATATTGGATATTTATCATAGGAAAAGTGCAACTTTTTGAAACTTTGGCATGGAGAGTTTTTTCTTTTTTTTTTGTTTTTTGGGTGCAAAGGGGTGCCTGCGACCTGGAATATGTAATTAGGAACACTTTTTTTAATGGATGTTAGCATATTAACTTACAGATATTTTTACCCTCGACCTGTTGCTTTGTGAACCTTTCACATTTATTTTTTGTCTTAAATTCCTGATCGCTCAATTTTTCTCTGGTTCTTTTTCTGGCCTACCTGAAATATGTGTGTTTTTACTTTCTATCTTTCAGGACACGTGGGAGGAGGTTGATCCTGATGAACTTTCCTATGAGGTAATTCTGGTATTTTTAGAATGCATGGTCAACAATTCTGTAATCAGATTTTGTATGATGTTCCTGACGAGTGATGTAATTGTATTCGACTTAATGAAGCTCACTTCAATATTGACAGGAACTGATTGCTCTCGGTGATGTAGTTGGTACAGAGAGTAGAGGATTATCAGCTGATACAATTGCATCGCTGCCTTCGACAAATTATAAATGCCAAAACAATGAAACAGAGACAGATACGTAAGTGGGACAGGAATAGGTTTCTTTTCTTAATACTCTTTATGATATGTTGGTGTAATTCTTTTGTTGCTTTTGCAGTTGTGTCATTTGCCGATTAGACTATGAGGATGGTGATGGAATGACCACACTCCCTTGCAAGCATGCCTATCATTCAGATTGCATAAATGATTGGTTGAAAATAAACAAGGTGAGGTAGCACTGGACACCTAATATCTGATATTCATTATGCCTTTTCAATTGTACATTCACATGTCCAATAGTTCATATTTTCCAGTCAAAACTCAGAAGTATCTCTTGAATAATTTTGTGTTAATCTTGTAAGCTGGCTACTTTATCTAACAAAACCCTGCATGCATCTGGGCCTCTTTGAACCCTTATCTATGCCAACAGAAGGACACATTATTGGCTGTTGTTGACCTGATGTGTATTCAATAAAGTTCTGCATAGTATTGACAACTATAGGATTACTTTCTCTTGCTGACCCTTGCAAGTTGCAATGAGAAACCTTTTGTATTGAGACCAATTTGTTGTTTGTTAGACTTTCTCAAATTACTGGGACTAATTTGTTGTCCCTAACTCTCATATTAATGGCTCTGATATGAAAATGAATTAATCAGTCTATAGAGTTTAATCATGTTTACCTTGGACTTGTGCTGCAGACTACTGAGACTCTTAAGAGTAATCAGTCAGTGCTATTTTATGAATTCTACCCATTATACACCCTCCGTCCGTAAATAAAACCCACTGGGAAAGGGTTTCTAGGAGAGTAATTGTAGTTGGGTAAAAATAGAAGGTAGTGTGTTAGAAGGGTTTTGTTGATCAATGTGAATTTGAAAACAAGTTTGTGGATGATGGACCTCCTTCAATGAGATTTGGGGCTTTGAAATGGGACAACAGGAGAAATGGGGCTTTTTATTTTGGTACTAGCATATTGGTTTTATATTCTTGTGCCCTGTATTTGAATTGACTGTCCTGTTCCAATAGGTGCCTTAGATTAAGTGCTATCACCTTTTTAACTATGTGTGATTGGTAATGCACAGCTAATTGGAAACTTTTCAAAATTAATAATTATGCACTATAGCTAACATGCATTAATGTAGCATCCTTGTTTGGAGATTGCTAAGTGATTGTTATGCTTTAGGCATGCTGAAAATTTCATCTGCAAAGTTGGCAAAAAGACCATTAATTTGCACATTGTATTATGTCGTGATTTTTTTTATTTTTATTTTTATTTTTTTTCCTGTAGATTTATCTTAAAGAATTTCTTTGCTAGTCTTATTGTAATTTAATTATGATATGTTTATAGGTCAACTATCTGAAATGCTGCAATTAAAATGATTTAAAACCTTGATGCAATATTTGATTAGAATTAAACTCGAGTAGGCTATACATCTGAACTATCATGCATTGGATTTGGACTATTTACATCTGTATAATGGTTAATTTTCCCAAAATTGATTAAATACTTCCACTGTGATAGCACTGTTCTCTTTGCTCTTCTCACAATGAGGAGTAATAAAATTCTTTCTCATTGTTGAGATGTTCTAGGAGTTTACATAGCTTATCCCCATGGGGAACTTGTTCAGTCATGTAGCAATATTTTTTTTATTTTTTTTTTCTTTTCTTGTTCGGCTATGGAGATCAACTGTTTCCTTATCTGTTCTACTTGTTGATGCAGGCGTGTCCTGTTTGCAGTGCAGAGGTTTCAACGTCTCAGAGTAGCTAAGAAATGGAATAGATGATACTTTGGTGTATATTAGATTCTATATGAATTTGCCAATTAAAGGCCATAGATCTGGTTGTCATGCTTTTCTTTCTAGGGGACAAACTAATTCTTCGGTTATTGTATCTGTTCTTGATTATTCCCCGTTCGAGAATGGAATACCTTCTTTTGTCTCAATTTTTTCTCACTGGAGTTCAATATCAATGCCTTTTGCTTTTTGACGTAGGATGCAGGTTTCCCGTTGTAATATTTAATTAATCTTTCTTACTCCGTAATGTTTGTTTAATCAATTCAGGCGTACTGTATTTGATCATAGCATAAGCCTATGGTGTAACTTCTGCACAGAGTAAATTGTTGATTTCAGGTAGTTGTGAGACCTGAACATTAGGATTCTCCCGGCAGGGCCTATTAGACTATTAGTAGTGAAGAATGAAAATTGTACTGCCCATTGAATTGTCGAAACAGGTGTAAATATACTCCGTAATCTACTCTTCAACCAAAATATATTTCGTTAAGGACTTAGAATTGGCATGTATATTTCAAAGTCTAGTAGGGGAGCATAGACTTCATTGTTGGTGCCTCAGGCTCACACCACACCAACTAGTCTCTTTCTTCTCCGGAAAATTTCGTTTTTAGCTTGAGAGGTGAATGAAGGAACATTGGCCTTTTCATTCCTGCCTTTCATTTGATTTATGGTGCCGGATGCTGGATGAGGGGTACGAGTAGTTACTTATCGTGCAGCATGATTATGGTAAAACATGTTTGAGTAGTTTCTTATCATGCAATGCTTATGGTAAAACATGTTTCCATTGCCTTCAACCAAAATTAAGGGGTACGAGTAGTTTCTTATTGTGCAACATGCTTATGGACGTTATGGTATTAGAAAAATTCACTTTAATAGTCCTAACTTTGGACGATTTACTCTTAATAATCCTAAAATGAATTAGTTTATAATCATCCCACCTTTGATATTAGTTTGTGATCTCTAGCCTTCTTAACCGGTCATCAACCTAATATATTAGGTTTTTCCGACACGTGAAATCACGTGAGTGATCCAAAAAAAAAAAAAAAAAAATCAAAAAAAAAAACCTCTCCTCCCTACTAGGGATGTCAGTGGGGCGGGTCAAGTAGGAGACCCGCCCCATCCCTGCCCCAATGGGGCGGGGATGGGTCTCGATTTGGCGGGTGGTGGGGCGAGGATGGGGATAAAAACCATACCCGCCATGGGTGATGGGGCGGGGGTGAATTTTAAGTTGTACCCGCCCCACCCGCCCAACTTCGTACCCGCCCCATCCCCACCTCATACCCACATCTATATATCTTTTAAAGCAAAATTACATACTTTTATTCTATTTATAAAATAATTACATGAAATACAATATTAATTATAATACTTTGTACGACACTTATATTATAACACGAAAATGTGTATAGAATGTTTTATTTTATAATTCGTATTAATTATGTAAGATTGTGTATTTGAGATACGGATATTAGGTGGATCTTGGGTGGGGATTAGGTAGATCTTTGGTGGGGATTAGGTGGGGATGGATATCCAAGTGGGGGGTGGGGCGGGGATGGTTCTGAAGTTGTACCCGGTGGGGCGGGGATGGAGATGAAAATTGGACCCGCCGCGGGGATGGGGATGGGGATGAAAATATTAGGTGGGGATGGGGATGGGAAGACCAACATCCGCCCCGCCCCGCCCCGCCCCATTGACATCCCTACTCCCTACCAGCCACCCCCTCTCCCTAGCCCAGTTGGAAACTACTCCAACTCGGTCGAAGACCTCCCCCTCCCCCTACCCCCCACGAAAACAACCCTCTCCCAGCCCACCATGATATTTTAAAGTCAACTTAATGAATGGATATGAGGAATTTTATTAAATGGAGGGTTGAGATTCATTCTACAATGACCACAATTTCATTGTAGCCATGTGAAAACTATCCTCAGAATTGATAATATGAAAAAACTTAATCATCCATTCTACTCATTTGAGTTACTTGCGATTTTTTTGGTCCAACTCTAGTCAAAATGAAAATTCTTGAATAAAGACTCAAATCAAAAGAGGTCATATATATTTTTTTTCCCCTTAAGAATAAAGATCTTATAGGCAAGAGATTGATTTGATTTAAAGAACCCATTACATAAATGAGAGGGAAGATAAAATCTTAAGGTGCTATTTGATAAAATCTATCCTTGTTATCAGAGAGCACATAGGCCAATACAAACTTACAAACATGTATGTACAAGCAAATGACTGCAGATGATATTGTGAACAATCGTTGAACGGCCTTGAACCCTTGTAATCAACTGTAATACTTCATATATGTACCATTTTTTATACAAACTACTCAACCTACACACTGCAAGACAAATCCTATACCAAAATCGTACAATGACATGTAGAATGAACCGCTCCAGTGGATGATATGAGGAATGCCAAGATGCTCATAAATCTCATACACAATCCCACAAATGCGATTAATCCCTTTGTCAATGCTGTGGTAGTTCAAGAAGGTCAAAGTAAAGCAAGCTCCCCCAGTAGGTTCTTCCTTGGATCCCAAAGTGAGAAAGAAGGGTCAATACTCAATATTAGATACTTCCTCTGTTTCTCTTTACTTGCAACACTTCCCTTGAATGAACTGTCTTAATACTTGCAACATAGCTCAATAATCTAAAGTATACATCTCTATCAACGATCAGCAATTCAGTGGAGAGAATGTCCAAAGATGTTCGTGGTCGTAAGTTAACCATTTCCTTGGTATTCATGGGATAGTTTACCCATGACATTGAGTAGTGAAGAAGAAGTGCACCAAGAATTGCGAACAATCATGGTGGAAAGATTAGTTTCTCTCTTATCATGAGATATTGTAAAACCAGAAAATCGATTGCTTCTCCATAGTTATTGAACTTTCATGAAATTCTCGAAGTAGTTACCCTGTTCGATTTGGAAGAACAAGACATCAATCAATCAGCTAGATTTGCAGGATGCAACTAATCACAATCGCAATGAAAATGCCAAGAGATATGACAAACATATTATGGGTTTGGGAGCTATAATGAAAATATGTTACTAAGTAATGTGGAAACAATCTAAAAAGGATAAAAGGTTTCCTCCTAAAAATATTGCTACACATTATATAACATGTCTCCTCAGATGCACCTGAAAATTTACTAAGGTATAGGACAAACGAGCAAGGAATACAGTAAGGAAATTAAAATAAATAAATAAAGTGCAGACTGAAAAATCATCACAGGATTAATTTGGGGTGAACATGTTAATATGCACACCTAGGCATGCTCTTGAATTGAGAACATAGACAGAAGAAAGCAGCACAAGCAGTATGGGGGAAATAACACTTTCTTATATATGTTACGAAACTTTATAAATATGATAGAGTTACATATATGACCAATGAACTACAAAGTCAACCTCATAGAGTCATAGGCTCGTATCCTAGCACCCAGTGCCTCAAGCCCCATTAAAATATACACCATGCAAAATTTTGGAGCCATTACCAATCCAACAGTGACATAGTTTGCTAACCACTGTCCCCTAATGAACACCAATATTAGTAAATTCATTCAACAAATTAGATTATAGCTGGAAGTGTACCTGTGTTGGAGATATGGCAATACTCGAAGTCATTACAAAAAATTGCCAGGTGATGATTGAAGTCAACAACCTTCTCCATGTAAGAAGGATGGGAATGCTCTAAATTCACAGTTCTCATAGCATGAAGCTTTCAAATTGTTATCCGATGCTGATGGTCTTAGGCCTAAAATTTAATTAAATATTGGCTTAAACTCATGCATCAGCTTCCAAACAAATAATGGGATTCTCCCCAGCCTCACTCTTCACCCCAATTCAAGGAACCGTTGGAGATGCCACCTTTCGCAAGGAGAGTATTAACATTGCAAGAAGTAGAAGGATCATCACACAGTTTGGCTATTGCATTTCTTACAACTGCATAATTTTTATCTACAGGGTCTGGAAACATTCTTTTTTCAACAATCTTCTTCAATATGTCCAAAGCCAAGATATGGTTCTTGTTCAACATACAAGAATCCAACAAAGCTATATAAACAAAAATGTCAGCACTCATTTCCTTTTTCTCCATTTCACAGAGATAAGATAGGGCCGTATCAGGCATGCCATTCTTGGAGAGGCCACTGATTAAAGCCATGAAAGCAATTCTATTGGGGCAACATGCTTTTATCTCCATTTGATTCCAAAGCTTAAGCGCATCGTGAGGCCGCCCAGCATTGCATAGCCCATCTATTAAAGTTGTATAGGTTATGACACTGGGTTCCCTGTCTTCTTCGCCCATTTTGGAATAGCAAATGATAGCCTGATCTACATTACCAATCTTGCACCATCCGTCAATAAGAGAGTTATAGGTTACAGTTGATGGGATAAGTCCCTGAGCAAGCATATCTTTCAACATGTTCTCAGCTTCTGACATTCTATTTGCTTTACAGAGGCCATTAATCAAAATATTGTAGGTGACTACATCAGGTCTGTAACCACGGGAATATATATAACGAAACAACTCCAGAGCACGGTCAACTTCGTGAAGTTTGAAAAAACCATCAATAGCAGCAGAATATGGAACTACATGCAGAACAAGACCTTCTTCCACCAATTTAGCAAGAAATTTAGAAGCTTCCACTGCTCTCCCATGTCTACACAGCTGTTTAACAAGTGTCGTAGAATTCTTTATCCATGGTTGATGGCGGTAAACACACATCTCTTTCACTATACTTGTAGCTCCAATGACATCCCCTTTTCTACAAAAATACCCATATATGGAGTTGTAGGTGAAATGAGTTGGCCCAATTCCTGATTGCTTCATCTCTTCCAAGAGTTTAAGACTGTCAATTACTCTATCAGCATTGCTTAAAGCATCGATTAAATTGTTGTACAAGAGTGTATCCTTTTGGCAGCCAAATTTCGCCATAGCTCCAAAGAGCTGAAGTGCTTCGTCCAATCTGCTATTTTGGCATAGAGCATTAATGATTATACTAAACGAAGATGAGTCCAAGCAATTAATTCCTTTAAGCTTGAAAAACTTCTCTAACCTACTACCATACTGAGGTTTTTCCTCTATCATCATTTTCACCAACTCGAGGGCTCTATCAATAAAACCAATGCAAACAAGACCATTCAAAACAGAATTATAAACCAATTTCACTGATTCATTATCAAGACACTCTCCGTTTTCCTCAAGTAATTGTGCCATTGTCTCCTCTTCATCAGTGAAAGATAGAAGCTTTGTGAGTATACCAACATCAGGAGAAATTCCAGAATCTTTTATTTCTGAAAACAAACTTAAAGCTCTCTGAGGCTTTTTAATCTTGCAAAGACCTCCAATCAGCACATCATAGACACCAATATCAACTAAAATCCCTGATCCACGCATTTTTTCATACAGTTGAAGGGCCTTATCAACTTTGAAATTAGATACAAACCCATGTATTAATACATAAAATGTCTTCTCATTCAATCTCAAATTACAATCTTCCATCTTTTCAATCAGCTCAAATGCCCTATCCACCTCCCCCCACTTACTGAAAGACACAGCTAAGATTGACATTATATGGGAGTCAACCAATCCTCTTTCAAGCATTTGGTTAAAAACAATCAAAGCCTTATCAAACTCCCTAGCATTGCAATAAACCTGGAGAACCGGAGTCATCGTATACTTATCAACCATCCACCCAAAACTCTGCATTTCATTCAATCTCTTTTCAGCTAGAACACACAAGTTCGATTTACCTATGGTCTCTAACAAACAATTATAGCTATAATTATTAGGAACACAAAGACCCATCTCCCTAACTCGATCAAACAACAAATTAGCTTCTTCTACCAATCCTACTCTTCCCAGACACCTAATAAAAAACCCCAATGCCCCAGGAGACATAAAACAACGAGAATCAATCAATTCTAAAGCTAAAGCTTTCATTGGGGCATTTTGTCGAACACCTAATAGGATTGAAGCCATAGCATTAAAAGTATAACAATTATGAAAATAACCTTTCTGGGTTTTCGCCCAAGTGAAGAATCTGTACGCAACTTTCCAATTCCTAATGCCCTTCAACACAGCTTCAACGATTTCAGGGGTGAGTCTGCAACCCAGTTGACTCAGTTCTTTGCTGTTATTGGCCTCAAAACGATTCTGGGTAAATATTGAAATCAACCCATTAATAATCTCTTTACTATCAGGAGAAAGATTAGGATTGTAAGGGTTAGAGCTAAACTTTCTGGAGAATGATGGAATTAAAGACAAATTGGTGATGAATTGAGCAGCAGAAAATTGGAAGAGTTTGATTGAATCCGTTGATTTATGAAGGGAATGGTTTTTGATGAATGCTTGATGTAATGCAGTGAAGAGAGAGCTTCGAGGATGGTAATGGCGTCGCATTTTGAGAGAGCATTCATATCACTCGGAGTCACTGCCGTCCAGATCTTCTTTGAATAGCATGAATTTGTTTGATGTGTTTTCCTTTATAGTAGTTTCTTGTTAGGGGTTGGGACTCTTGAGACTACTTGCGTGATTTAGGGATGACACGGGGTCGTGCTAGTTTGAAAGCGAACTTGGTACAACGCTATGACATGTGATTATGTGAAAGATATATGACCTAATGCAAACTCGGCCAAAGAATGACTTAACGGGATTTTTTTATGTTAGGGTGCATGTCATGTTTCAACTGTGACTTTTCTTAGGAATGAGTGAGATCGAGATTGATACATCAAATTTAGTAATTATAGTAAAATTATCTTGGGTTAGATTGAAGAATTGAAGCGATAATATCTTGTTAATCCAACAAATGCCTAAAGTTGGTAAGCATCTACTAGTTAGGTGGTGGTCATAAATCTCATGATAGCACTTTAATTTGTCTAGGGAGCATGAGCACAATAAACTCGTGTTGGGTTTTGGTCGACAAATACCTTGTGTTCTAAAATTTTTACAACAATTTGATTGGACATGCTGATACATAATATCATTGTGATTTGCACATTATTAGCACGTTGCACCCAACATTGAGTTAAATTTTAAGGACACTGTTATTGAAAGTAGTCGTGTTACCTCGTGTATTTTAAACAATTTTGTACAGTAACTTTTTTTTTTTAATTATTCTACTTCTAGTGGTAGTAGTTGCATTGCTTGTTAGATGTCTCCATCCCTAACAAGTGTATAACTAGTTGATGTGTTAACCCTTATCTTTTTCTATATTAAGACCTTAAGACAACTATCAAATCAGCAAAAATAGCAGAAATCTAAGGATACAAATTAAACATTATCAACCATGCTTTTCAATGTAGTTTATCTAAAAATCCTCCCCAAATATAGGAATTATTTTAAGGAGATTATAAATTGTTTCAAAATGATAACAAAACAAGGTACCTTCTGCCATTATTCAGGCTAAAGGGTCAATTCAATAATCTAAACATTTGAGAGACACCCAAAGAAAAAGTGAACGAATGTATCAAAGTTATTAATAAAATTTTTAGCTTTGATAAAAACGTTCGCCTTTTCTTTAACGAGTGTTCTCTTGTAGTTTACATTACTCATCATAAACATGGCAGGAGGAGTGATTGTAACGGGTGGTCGTGGAGGTAAACAATACGAAGGCCGTGTTACCGGGTTTGTGATAGTTACGTGCTTGGTGGCTGCCACGGGTGGCCTTATATTCGGGTATGATATCGGAATATCAGGGGGTGTAACGTCCATGGATATATTCCTACACAAGTTTTTTCCAACAGTTTATGCAGCAGAAAAAAAAGCATCAGGGCAAAACCAATATTGCAAATTTAATAACGAGTTGCTAACTTTGTTTACTTCGTCTCTTTATTTGGCAGCACTAATTGCCTCTTTTTTTGCATCTAAAGTGACTAAGGCTTTTGGAAGAAAAATTTCTATGCTTTTTGGTGGACTTGTCTTTCTTGCTGGTGCACTTCTTAATGCATTTGCTGTTAATGTTGAGATGCTTATTGTTGGTCGTATTTTACTTGGTATTGGCATTGGTTTTAGTAATCAGGTAATTTTACCTTTTACTGTTTATTTCTCGATATTTTACTTATAACCAAAATTCTTGATAAAGGTTTTTGAAAGTTCTTTACACTTTACCTGTCACAATCTTCAATGTTTGACCAATATCACACGAGTAAGGATTATAAATTTGATAGATTGGAAATTAACACATTTTGACGAATTATTATTTAACAATGTCTCTCATGATAATGCATTATAATAGCGATAATTTAGTTAGTATTCTATACACCTTTTGGCTTGAATCTTCTAAAGTCTAAACTAGTATGGTCATTTCAATTGATATAATGTATATGGTCTAATATGGTATGATTTTTCTATTTTGATATAATATATTCTTAATATTATAAGGTAAAGAGAACAAAACTTAACAATCAATAAAGTTAAAAGTGTAAAGAATTTTCAGAAACAAAGATGGTATACATGTTAATCGATTATTTCTAATACAGTAGTCTATGTTGATGTACACATAAAAATTGCAGTCTATACCAATTTATCTATCAGAAATGGCACCACCACAAATTAGAGGGGCTCTCAATATTGGATTTCAATTGGCAATTACAATTGGTATATTGGCTGCCAATCTCATCAACTACTTTGCACAAAAAATGGGGGAGAAAGGATGGAGGATTGCTCTAGGACTCGCCGGTGTACCGGCTTTAGTGATCACTGCTGGTGCCTTGATCTTACCAGACACCCCAAACTCTCTGATTGATAGAGGCCACCAAGACAAAGCAAGAGACTTGTTGAAGAGAATTCGCGGAACCGAGAACGTTAAAGAGGAGTTTGATGACATTCTTGAAGCATATGAATTGTCTAAACAAGTTAAAGAACCATGGAGTAACATTATGCAACGTCACAATAGGCCTCAACTTACCTTTGCTATTATCATCCCTTTTTTCCAACAAATTACTGGGATTAATGTCATCATGTTTTATGCTCCTATCCTCTTTAGGACTATAGGGTTTGGCGATGAAGCTTCTCTCATGTCGGCTCTCATTACCGGGGTTGTCAATGTCGTCGCCACCATTGTCTCCATTGTTTGTGTTGATCGCTTCGGTCGTAGGGCTCTCTTCATCCAAGGTGGTCTTCAAATGATTATAACTCAGGTATGTTACAAAATTATACAGTACGTGCTCTTTTAGGACCTGTTCGCTTCAGCTTAATTTTAGTTCAGTTCAGCTCAATTCAGTTCCTAATTTAATTATCTCATAAACTATTCAGTTCAGCTCATTTTAGTTCAGTAAATCATAATAGGCTCTTAGGACCTGTTATTTCAGTTCAGTTCAATTAAGTTCAGCTTCAATCAATTCAGTTCAGTTCAGCTCGCTCCAATCAGTTCAGTTCAGTTCAGTTCAACTCTAATCAATTCAGTTCAGTTCAACTCTAATCAATTCAGTTCAGTTCAACTCTAATTAATTCATTTCAGTTCAGCTTCTAATTTCTTTCTCTCATAAGATATTCATTTCAGCTCTATTCAATTCAGTTCAGCTCACATCAGTTCAGCTCAAATCAGTTCAGTTCAACTCCAATCAGTTCACCTCAGAAAATGACTAAATGTAAATAAGCCCTTAATCTCAATTTAATTGTCACATGTACTTTTTTGTGTCCATTCTAAATTAATAGACGCACTGCACGTGCATATTTGCACATACAAAGTACTCATACTAATCATTTTTTTTTTGGTAGGTGATCATTGGTGTAGTTCTTGGCCTAAAGTTTGGAGTCACAGGGGTCGGGTCAATAAGCAAAACAGATGCTAATATCGTAGTAGCATTGATATGCATCTATGTTGCGGCATTTGCATGGTCATGGGGTCCTTTGGGATGGTTAGTTCCTAGTGAAATCTTCCCTTTGGAGACTCGATCAGCAGGACAAAGTATCAATGTTTCCGTCAACATGTTGTTCACCTTCATCATCGCGCAATGTTTCTTACACATGTTGTGTGCCATGAAATTTGGTCTCTTCTTCTTTTTTGCTGGTTTTGTCATCATCATGACAATCACAATCTTCTTCTTCTTGCCCGAGACCAAAAATGTTCCTATCGAAGAAATGTATAGTGTGTGGAAGGCACATTGGTTCTGGGGATCATACATCCCTGATAGCTTGGTTGGCCATCATTCTAATAAGAATGTTGAAAAAATGCTAAATGCTTAGAGGGGAAAAAAAATTAAGTAGAACCACCTCATTCAAAAAGACGTGTTCAAATTTCATGGTTGGTGTTGATTTATTCAAGTCATTTTTTATAAGTTAATTTGTGTTCAACATTTTTTTCATGACCGAACTAAATTACAAACAATGTATCAAACCAATAACATTTCTTATTTATAAATCATTCGATTACAACATAATGATACACGAGATTAAACAAAAAAAAAAAAAAAAAAGTTGTGAACCAAACACAAATTTTGGCCTTCTGATCTACCCCTTCTTCCTTGATTAATTGTGCCAAGGACATAGGCATTGTGTCAACGCATGGACAACCTTAACTATTTCCTTTTGTACTCAACAAAGGATCAATCTATTAGTTGAAACTTTTTTAGTGAAATGCAATATGTCATGCCTCTCTTGGCCTTTTTTCAATTATTGCCACTACATTAAATTTGTATTCTAAAAATGATCCATTGATTTAGATCCTTTTGTAGATATGTTGTAAATATATACGAAGTATATTTTATTAATAGCGTATCAATTTGATAATTTGTGGACAACTATTTTTTGCTGTAAAAATGAGGCACTTATGTTATTTTTTTTTTTTTGCTAATTCCAAACTCAATTCAAACCATTAAGAACTAAAATGGCCCCTAAAACCTTAAACGATGAAAAAGTTTAATCGGACTGCAATTTAAAATTTATAAGGACATTTAGGCTGTAATTTGCAATTTTTTTTAATTAAATTGCAAAATACGGAGCACTAATTTTTATTTATTTTTTGGTTGGTAAAGAGAAGGGCCCTACCAGACCAAAACCTCTCACATGCCTTCCCGGCCCGGGACTAGACAATGGAAAAGAGTTTGCAAATTTTGTTTAAAAATATATCAATTTAATACTTGTATGAGTAAAAAAAAAAAAAAAAAAAAAGTCAAAGACGAAAGTAGCTCGTGGAATCTTCCGTACGCACTAGTCAAAGTAGACAAATGATACAAAATCTAGTATCTTCCAGAATCTTGTAGCATTTTTATTTTATTATTTTCAACAATAAAATTCCCCAATTACTATAAATTCAACCCACAAAAATTCGAACTTCAAATAAAAAACCCCCAATTTCAATTTCCTTCACCAATTATTCTAATTTTCTCTCTCCTCTCCACAAATTTTCCGATCAAATGTCGTCCGCCGGTGTAGCGGTGGTGCCGCCGCAATCATACTTCTGTTACCAATGTAATCGCACCGTAACCCTAACTCCGACGCCCAATTCCGATCTCTCTTGCCCTAATTGCAGCGGTGGTTTTCTCGAAGAATACGATTCTTTTCCGCAAAACCCTAACCCTAATCGTCTTTTCGGTTCTTCTGCTGCTGCTGTTTACCCTGATCCTTTCTCTTTCCTCGCCGATCCTTTTTTCACGGCGGTCTCTCGTGAGCCCGGCGGACCAGGTGGGCCCGCTGTGCTCTCTTCGACGACGATTGATTTGCAAAACCCTAGAAATTTCTCACCTTTAATGTCACCTTCTTCGGGTTCTCCTGCTTTTAATCCGTTTGATTTTCTGCAGAATTATCTTCAGAATCTTCAGCAAAGTGGTGCTAATGTTCAATTTGTTGTTGAGAATGATCAGGGTGATCCGAATTTCCGGCTTCCGACCAATTTTGGGGATTATTTTTTAGGGCCGGGTCTTGAACAGTTGATCCAGCAGCTTGCTGAGAATGATCCGAATCGATACGGGACTCCCCCGGCTTCAAAACGAGCGATTGATGGTTTGCCCAATGTTGTGATCACTGCGGAGGTTGTGAATTCGGATTCGAATTCGTGTGCTGTTTGTATGAATGAATTTGAGGTTGATTCCAGCGCGAAACAGATGCCCTGCAAACACTTGTATCACTCTGATTGTTTGATCCCTTGGCTTCAGCTTCATAATTCTTGCCCTGTTTGCCGGTACGAGTTGCCTACCGATGACCTGGAATACGACAATCGAAGGGCGGGTGGTGGACAATGTGGGAACTCTGAAGGGTCATCAGAGAGTGGGAGTGGCAGTGGCAGTGGTGGATCGCAGGGAGAAGGTAGAAATAGTGAGAGGAGGTTCAGAATCGCGCTGTCGTGGCCTTTTAGGATGTTTGGTGGCTCCGAAGGGAATAATAGTGGTAACTATAGCGGTCCAGGCTCGGGGGCTCGACAAGGTGGTAGTGGTGGTGGGGGTTGTGATCATGGTTCGGAGCCAATGCATGAAAGCTTGGATTGAAGTTAAGAAAGGTACAATTTTTAATGTACCTTCTTTCTCTCTTTCTTCTGCATTTTGGTCCTTAGCTTTATGGGTAGATAGTTGTGAAATTATTATACTGTAATTGACATTATATTAGGCTTAATTTTTTATAGGTGGTGGAGAATGCTGAAATATTCTTTATTTCGATTAATTACATTTTTCTAATGATTTAGCTCAAATTGTGTAGGGTAAAAATTATTTAGGATTAATGAATTTGTTTCCTTATTCAATTCTACATATTTGGTTAGTCAAATTGATACTTGTATTATAAAAATTTGTTACAACTCCAAGTCAGTTTTATGAATTATGACACAAATACCCTTATCAACTATTCTGCTTGCTTACTTACAAAATTACAAGTCTGTTGTTGCTATCATGTCATTGGCAATGATATTGGGATAAGAGTTGAACTTTGCCTTGGGTTTGGGCGAATAGATTGACTTTGCTATGTTTGTGAAATTCTTACTAGTCCTAGTACCACCGCACCACTAGAAGAGAATACAATGATCGCCAAAGAGTGTAAAATTCTAGATTGGTCCAAGCACCTCATTACCACTAGAAAAGAAATAATCTGTTTATACCAATTGCAACTCTTAAAAATTTGCTAGTAGAGTTTGTTGCTATTGTTTACTGCGGATGCTAGTCCTGGTTGATTGTGTTGTATGAAACTCTAGGTATTTCTGCTAGTAACACAGCAGCCATCACATCATTGATGTTAATCGTCATGCTACATCATTGAGTTCAACAGTGTGGTTTTTCCGTTTAAAACTTATTTATGGACGCGTAGGATAGATCTATGCCATTATTAAAATGTCAGGTCATGTTGGTTGTTCCATTTTAAGTATTATGTATTTAGCCAGCCACAATATAGGAGAGAGAGTGAGGGTTCTGGCATTCTTGGCTCATCATGCGGTCATCTAGTGTTTCATGTTTCTTTTATTTTTGCTTCATTATATGGGTTATTGATTTCATAGGGGTTTGATTGTTTCAGAGTATACAATATTATATTATTAAATCTTAAACATTAAAGTTCTGTGCAGGTTTATGGCCAGAGCTTTGTAATTTGATTTTGTCATTCTCTCAAGCTCATTTTTTGCAAGACTTTCGAGGAGGGTGCTGCACTTATGGACATATTTATTTATCTTATATGTTTGATACACATCAATTTGGGGTTAGATTGGTAGAAAAAGGATGCTAGAGAAGGAAGAGTGTTTTCAGTGCTGATATTAGCTGTTACTATTTGGTCACTTGTGTTTGTACAAAATCGTATTTGAAATCAAATTGGCCTAATTCAAAACTGATATTGTCCTCTTGGCATTCCTTTAGTTATATTGACCTTGTGGTGAAGCTTTGATATGAACAATGAAATGATCCAGCACTCTAGCTAATATTTCTCGGTATATTTTAGTGTGAATATTACTGCATGATCTGGGCGGGGAATGTAGGGCAGCAACTCCAGTTCAGCCAGCTTTATGGTGAAGCTGCACAACTTTGTTTACTCTGTTGTCTGTGCATCAGCTATTAACTCTAGCTCTACCGCTTTTGTGTATATACCGCACTTCATCAATATCTTGGGTTTGAGTTTGTCAAACATATATACAAAGTATGAGATTGTGCTTAAACCTTTCACTCTTGTCTTCAATTGTAGTACTTAATGCTTGTATATCTGGTTTTCCACTTCGTACATGCATATGCTGGAGATAGAAGTGATTTTTGTGCTTGTCTTTATGTTTTCTGATAGAAAATGTTCAGATTGTACACGCCTACACAGTTATGAAGGTCCCTTATTTTCAAGGGATTGTACAATTGCTAATTGTCCTCCGAGCTGCCTCAAACTACTACCTCCAGTCCAAATTACTCGCAACTTTGGAATATTTTATATCTCACAAATAATACCCCAAAGTTGTGAGTAATTTGGACCGGAGGTAGTATTACAAATTGATAAGGCTTCACTGTTTCAGGAGGTTTTGCATTTGCATGACGCTTTGGAATGGTTTTTAAAGTGTCCTGCTGCTTCGCTGTAATCGGCGTTATGTCTTTGGGTTTTTTTCACCCTCTAACAAAAGCACCCTACCTCTGCTAGATACCGAGTATATCACAAGTAAAAGAGTTGCAATTGAAACGTAACTAACAAAGGAGATGTCTAAAATGATATATATATATAACCATCATTTAGAAAGTGAGTAGCAACAATGTTAATGAAGATGTGATGAGTAATATGATAACTTAAAATACATGACGCAATGGATTAGGTTCATTTTAGGACCCAGCTTTACTATTTACCATTCTCGACTCCATTGTTTTTACTTTTCCAAAATTCGTCTTTGATTTCTAATTTTCTACGATTAAATTCCTTATTGAATTTATTCAACAACTGTATACAAATTAACAGAATCATTGCAAGAACATATCATGCAAATAAATGAGCACGATAGTAATATTGCATATGTGAATAACATATATTATATATGATGAAGGAACACATAATGAAAAGGAAGTTTTGTCAAAACTAGTTTTTGTAAAAAAATCACTTTTTTGAAAATATATGTAAAAAACCGTCGGATTCAAATTTTTTGTGGTAATTTACCGCATATTGTAGGAAAATGTGTTTTGACTACTTACGATTTAAACCTCTTTTGTTCAGATGTTGGTGGCGAATTACAATAAAAATTTTAAATTGGGTGGTTTTTACAAAAAAAAAAAAAAAGGTGTTTTTTCAAAAAAAAAAAAAAAAAAAAAAAAAGAAGGATTTAAAAGGGGGTTTTTTTTACAAATTTTCTAATAAAATTAAAAAAAAAAAAAACATTTCACAAGTTTTTGTTCCATGTTCTTTTAATTATCAAAAATTTGCACTTTTTTTTCTTTTGACATGTATAGCTTTCAAATACAAAATATAAGTACTCCCTCCGTCCCTAAATTACATTCTTTTTTCTCTCTATTATGTGAGGAATAAATGCGAGAAAGAGGAATGTAATTTAGGGACGGAGGGAGTAGTAGTTTATTTTATTGGAAAAAGATATTTACAGCCCTAAAGGCTGCATATAAGAAGCTAAAAGTAGAAAGAATAGACAATAAATAAACATATATTATAGCGATTACTTGTAAATTGTCGAAAAATTCTCAACTTAATACTAAAAAAACAAGTGTATTAAATGCTTCATGCATATAACATTACCCTATTTTATTTTAACATGTGGATTTTTATGTATGTCAATATATTTTGAATTGTATGTTCTTTAACTTTAAACGGTGTATGTTGTTAAAAGCATGATGCGTATCATCTAATAATACACCTTTAACAAAACATGTAATTTTTATTAATAGATCAATATTTTTAAAATAAATCAAATAACACACTTTTGTTTTGAAAGTGCTCATGTTTTTTCTATATTTTATTGAAAAGCAAGATAAAAGGAAGGTAAGGAAATGATGAGAGAAGGAAAGAAGGAAAAGATGGGGAAGGGAAGGAGGGACATCCAGCTCATTATTTTTACTTCAATTCTCTCCAATTTTAAAGAGATATCCAAATAAAAAGACTTGTTTCTATTTATTTTACTATTCACCCTTTCCTAGTCAAGTCATCTTCTCTTTCATATCGGTTACGTACAAAGAGTTGTTAAATTTTAAAAGAATATGAAATGTGGAAGGTCAATCCAAACTAAAAAAGGAAGAGAATTTAATTCATTTATCACAAACTTAAAAGTAGATTTTATACTAAAATTAATTGATGATATATAATAGGAGTAACTCTTCGATTACCTTATAAGGTGACACTTTCTCCCCTCTTTTTTCAAGGTAGGACAATTCACAAGTAGTCTTATATATTTACATTGCGGCTTCAACATTATCCCTCACTTGTGAGTGTAATAAGAAATTCATAGGTTAGTCCTGAAGTGTCGCCATTGAATTAACAATGTTCAGTGTTTAACTTCATGATAAATTAATTAGTTAAACATGCCAACCATGTTAATTTCTAAATAAATATAATAACAAAGATTGACATTTTTCTTCCACCGGCCAAATGCTTAATTATAAATTTATAGTCATTAGCTACAAAACTCCACTCATTCTTTACTCCAATAACAATAATAATGATAATAAATAAATAAATAATAACAAGTACGAAGTATATTTATTTAATGGTAAAAAGTATTAGAAATTAGAGTATATAAAATGTGAAATAATCGATTGTAATGGGAGTAATTATATAAAAAGGCTAATTGGTTGAGTAGTCATGCGTTAGGTCGTACGGAAATGGACCCTTTATGAGTTGGTGTTATCATAAATCATAATTAAAAAAAAATATATATATATATATAAATGGGGAATCTATTTTGCAACTTGATGGGTTTTGGTTGGGCTACAACCTCCCATGTATTCAAGGCAACAGTTTTAAATCTGACCATATAAAAATAAAATACATTATTAAACCATGATTTTATGTTATTGTTGGCCAACAATTTGCGACATTTTAGTACCTGCCATCTATATTTTGCACAAATCCAAGATATTACTAGAAATTTTAATTAAATCCTAGCAGACCATACTATTTAATTATCGTACACTTTAGACCTAAATAAAATAAATTAAGATCATCGTACACCTCCCATTTTTTTTTTATATTACTCCATCCGTCCCCGATTGATAGTCACTTTTGCCATTTTTGGAGACTCAAAATGTTAGTCACATTTGCTTTTTTCAAGTACCATTAATATTATTTTTTTTTACCAAAATTCTCTAATATTTGCAAAAAATATTTGTGCAAATTTAACTTTCCCATGTAAATTTTACTTTCTCATGTACTTTAATTACTTTCTCTCTCTACTTTTTTATATACTCAATGTAAATTTACTTTTTCAATGTAGTTTCTTTAATTCTTCTTAAATCCCGTGATTTTTCTTCAAAAGTGACTATCAATCGGGGACGGAGGGAGTATAAGATTTAATTTCAATTTTCAATTCCTCAAGAAATGTAATTAATAAGGCTATACATATAATACAAACCTTTATGTTTATTTGCGTTAGGTAGAGGTGTAAGTATATTGTCGTGTACCAAACGATATATTTATATGTATATGTGATACGAGTATTAATAGTCTGTTGTGTTCACTTTATTTTCACTTATTAAAATAAGTCTTGATGAATTTTAATAGGATAAATACAAAGCTATGATGAGGGTAGCTAAGTTCAATATTTAAGATAAGATACTATGACACACCCTAAGACTAACTATGAGATTATAACTAACAATGATCGATCCTTAGTATATCCAGTTAAGCTAGTTCAGCTAGCAATAGAAAGACTGTTTTTTTTTTTTTTTTTTTTAGAAAGACTATTTCTAAAAGAAGTAAAGAACTGTAATATTAGTATATTACCGTCGACAAAGATGATCTACTTACAAATTTTCATAATATATGCGAGTGAATTCAAAGATCACTTTGATCACCAAATTCTTAAAATCAATAATGTTGATGCCTCCTTTAATAAAAGAACCATAAGGTTTGCATTTTTTTAGGATGTGATATTGAGCCTTATAATATATATATACTCCATATATAATTACCTATAAAAATCATTTCAAAATCTAACCATCTTGACCTATTAGTTAAGGACGAGGGTTTGTGTACAATAGATTATAGGTCAAATTCGTTACTCCTATAAATATGTACTACCCTTGTGGCCTTGTGGCTCTTTTAGACAAAAAAAAAAATAAATAAAAAAAAAAATAACAAGCCAAAAACCGAATTAGGTTTGTTAAAACAAAATCCTCCTTGCGTCTTATAAAATATTACAGAGTAAGATAATATTTGAATAATAAGTACAAATAAAGTCATCTTAATTCAAACTATTACTCTATACATATAAATAACTTTTGCAAAGTTTAGATGACTGAAAACCAGGCGATGTGGTAATGGTAATGTGCGCTCTTCGACTGTTGTTGAGCGAGAATTAGATGGTGAAAATGTTTTTATTTGTTCTTGGTATTCAACATTCAAAGTCTATGCAGTTGTTTTGTGATAATCAGTCGGCTTTGCATATCGCTAAGAATCCGGTGTTTCATGAACGAACGAAACATATAGAGGTCGATTGTCACTTTGTTCATGATGAGTTGATAAACGGTAATATTTCTACCTCATATATTTCGACAGGTCATCAGTTGGAGATATTCTCACCAAGGTTCTTGGACGTCAACAGTTTGGTTTTCTCTTACGTACGCAAGTTGGGCATTCGTGATTTACATGCTCTAACTTGAGGGGGAGTATTAGAGTTTGGTTGGATTATGTTTATCTTGTTAGGAGTTTTAGGCAAGTTGGGTTTCCTATTGTATTGGGTATATGTATGTGATTATTATCAATGCAAAGGCTAAGCCGTTTTCTCCACAATATTCTTGAGTTTAACATGATGAATAATATAATGCATTTTTATGTTAATAAATTTTAATTTTAATGAATTTAATAATAATTCATTTTTAGTTTTATTTTTTTAAAAAAGAAAAAGTTCAAGAAAGAGACATCTATTTATGCAAATTGAATGACATAAATACATAAATGTACATATATATTGTTGAAAGAAAAAGTTAATAAATAGAAGTGGTCCTTTTATGATTTGTGATTTAGTGTTTATAAAAGATGACACTCGTCTAATTGAATATGGATGGTTAAAAATGAGAAATTGTACGACACAATTCTAAGACATACAAACATTTTTCAAGTTAAATACT